TGGCGAACGAGCGCACCTGACATCCGAGCCCCGGGGAAGCAGCTCGTCTTTCCGGTGCATTGTCTGGCGGCGGGGGTGCTGTTATGCCAGCGAGTCCTCGTCAAACGTCCGTGCCTCGGAAAAAGGCAATCTGGGTCAAGGCCAGCCCGCAGTCCGCCGGGCGCGATCAACTCGACGGAGTGAACACGCGCGGCGCCTCTCTGGCCCACGTGCAGTGAGTCAGTTGCGCACGTGACAGCGAGCCGGCGTCCTCGTGTCAGGTGGTCTGACGCATGGCGCGGCGGCCCCATTGGCGGAATCTGCCCTGACGACCAGCGGCGCTTCTGATTGGACATTTTGGTTGGACCCGGTGTAAATAAAAGAAGCCCTGCGGCGCGTCGCGATCGGAGGTCCTAGGAGAGGAGTCCCCGTGTCGGAGTGCCGACATGTGTGTGAGTCAGCGGTCTTAGGCGAAAGGCTGACCTATGTGTTAGAGAGGAGAGCTCGGCTCTTCGAGTCTCTGTCGGCCCCAGTGCCGAAATTGTAACGCCTCTGTATATATGCTGTACATAAACCTTGTTTAACTCACCGTCGTCTCGTCCGCTCGTCTTATCAGCTCTGCGCAGAAGCAGTCGCGAGCTGAGAAACATACGCTACCAAACGGCTGGTGACCTTCCCGGCGGAGTTGAAAGCAGTGGCGCCTCCGGGGCCGTGTTGGCGTCGCCGTCTTTCGCAACAGTGGTGGCTTCGGCGGGATCGGTCCGTCGTTCGCAACATCTCTCTGTTCTAGGATGGGAGGAGGCCCGGGTGGCGCCGTAGCCGCGCCTGTTGGTGGATTCGCTCGCAGGACTTCAAGCTGGACGGTCGCGCCCTCGCGATCTCCGACGCCAGCGTAGCTCCTGCCGACTGGTTCGCCCTCCGCGGTCTCCTGACGTCGTGCAGCTCTCGCATTGTGGTGCCCCGCCCTTGGACTGCCCGGATCCCCACTTTCCTATCTTCTATTTTCTGTCGCTTGCCTCTCTATTTCTTCATCTATTTCCTTCTATTCTTTTCATCTCTCGTTACCCCCACCCCTATAAGGCACTGCGCCGTCTCGCATATAGGCAGACAGAAATTAGGTGCCTTTTTCCTCTTCCTTACAACCACTACCACCACCTGTTGGTGGCTAGAGAAGAACTACCATAATGCACTATACAGAGGTTCCTGCGTCCAGCGGTTCAAGCTTAAGCAGCTCATATTTGTGAAGCGCAACACGTAGGTAGGCAACTGTCTTCTCTCACTTTTTTGTTTTGTTTAACCAAGCGTTCTAACAGCTGTCCAGTCACCATTCGGGTTTTAATATCGCCATTTAGCTCCTAACATTTTGTTGCAAAATTTCAATTAATAGAACACTAATAAAGCTTCTTTTTGCCCCTTGTACTGCTTGCGATCTTTATTGCAGTATTTAAAAATCACGAGGACTCTTATGCACTTTTTATGACGTCGACCTAGTGACCAAATGCTGAACGTGTTGGGATATTCAGGCGTTCGGGAGATGAAGCTCATATCAGACGCTCCTGAATCTGCAGCTGAGAGCTGGTCATTCCGCACACCCAGTGCTCCGGGGTGGGGGTCATTTCATTATTACTGTTATCTTTTTTGGCAGCTTCGTTCGGTTCCTACGACTCGGCAGATATCCGTGTTCACATTGCCAAGCAAAGAGGGCATTGGGGATGAACGTATTTTGCACCACCCTTATTGGCTACTACTGAAACACCATGCTCAAGTTAGTTATGTAAGCATGAGTATATGCTCTATCGTAGTTGAAGGCCACAACGCATTCTCTAGGTCCACCTTTAGCCAGCCAAAGCCAAGGGTACGCGTGGTGCAAAAGTGAACAATCTGTCAGTCAATTTGTAGAAGAGAAACTTCGACATAAGTTAGCGTATACAAACACATGCATTAACCCAATGAATACTGAAGGGCAAAACAAGTATACTTCAAGTTGGTTCTCATTGATACCCCCACACAGAAGGTGTGAATACTATATTCACGGCCTGATATATAACTTGCGATCAGTTTAGTACGTGCCACACGTACCCTTTGCGACAAAGATGACATTGCATACCTGCCAACGTTTTTAGATACTGTATCTAAAAACGTTGATACCTGCGCACAGGCAAACACAGAAAGTTCTCATCTCCCCATTCATGCTTGCGAGGCGCGTTTGAAAAGCATGAGTGCTAATGAGCAGTGCGGAGCTGTGTTCCATATTCGATTCAAAGGCACAAGGTGCCCGAGCGGAGTTTTACTGTTTCATCTAAGAGCAGCAGATCTAGAGCATTTTGTCCCCCCTTAACTAAATTTCAGTTTTCTCCATATTCCCGACAGCTCCAGGCGCGTGGCAAAAGTGCTTTTTCTTCTTGAACACTGTTTTTGTCAGCATAAAAATACGCTCTTTCAGCAGCTTAGCAATAAAAATTAAGCCTTAAAACATCACGATTCGTTCAAACATGCTGACCATGCCAATATGTAGCGGGGGAATCAGTAGGGTGGTTTTACTGCGCGAGATATGCCACCAAGCTACTAATCGTCGACATTGGTAACGTATTTTACGTACTTTGCAGTTTTATATATGGTGTACCTCTCATCACACCATATTTAAGGGGGGGGGGGCGTTCATTCTGAACTAAATAAAACTATCAACACGCATTTCTTACATTGGGGAATCGCAGGATTGGAATTGAACTGCTCCACCATTCCTGGAGAGGGAATGGGCCATTTTTTTTTCATTCGAAGGAATTAAAGGAATGGAATTGCGGCAAATCCCAATTCCTCGGAATGAAATTGGAATGAAATGAAGGTGCCTATTCCGCAACACTAATTGCGACTAAGCCATCGAAATTCCTCAACTCTAGGCCACTGTTACTGAGAGATTGCGCTTGGAGAGCCAGAAAAGACGCAGTAACGAAAGGATGGCCGCGACAATGCATGTAAGTTGTCGCGTCGGCACGACGTGACGTGACAAACTTTCCGAAAATTAGTATTTAAATGGGATCATGATCCGCCCCTTGGGTTTGGTACGCAAACAAATCCTGCGGATTCAGCAGACACTGCTAAAAACATAACCAAATCTTGCGGTCGAGCAAGGAGTGTTAACAAGCGGACCGCAAAGTCTTCATTTTCCGAAGCGCCCTCACTGCTGACTCTTCGGAGCTGCCGGCACCTGCTGTTTGATATCGAACAGCATATAACATACGCTGTTGTCCATATATTCGACCTTTTCACAGGAGAAAAAACAAAACAAAAAAAAAACGCCGTGCTGGGCTGCGCGCGGGTGTATACTAACTAGGCTTTGACAGTAGGCTACGGGCTGTTTGTTTTACACGATTACGAGCGAAGAACAGCGCTAATAAGACGGAACAAGAAAGGACATGGGACCAATTACATTTGATTGTTAATCAGGGCCGCGGTATCGTGTCCCTCCTTGGCCCATCTTGCGAGCACTGTTCTTCGTTCGTAACAGAAGCTGACGTGGCAGCCTCGGCAGCGTATTTCAGGGGGGTCAGGCCTATCCTCTTCGTGGTCACGCCTATGCTACAAGCTTTGGACAGAGCGATGCCACGCTTGCGCGCCGACTTTCACTTTCCGAAGCTCCACGGACGCGTGCTTCCGCTCATTCGCGCACGACCGACGTCAATGGCAATTCGGCCGACTGGTTCAAGGACGCCGATTTGGCAGCGAGCGCGGACGGCTCGTTTCGGAGCGGCTTTCACCGCCACGACGCGCGTGCCAGCGGCACGCGACCGGGCGCAACGTGTACGAGCTCAGCGCCCGAGGCGCTTGCCGGCAGCGCAGAATGAAAATATTGCTTTCGAGGGCGCCACCGTACACTCACCTGGAGTATGAGAGAGGGTACATTAGAACTACGAAAGCAAGAGGAATGAGGACAGAGAGGCGTGCGCAACAAGGGCGGCGTAGCGGGACAAGAGGTGCACGAGTCGAAGGTGCACGGTCTCGATCGGAGCAGTTTATTAGGGTTGGTTGGCATGAAGTCTCGTTGGCGGAATGGAAACGGAACATAGCTCTCAAATGGCGAAGTTCCGCAATAGATTGTACGTCACACAACAAAAAGGGTTACTATACTAGCAAATAATAATAATAATAATAATATCAACAATCGACAGGTATTAGATCAGTCAAGTCAATTCATGCATTAACAGTCCTAACATCAATGAACAAGAAATGCATACGACAGATAGTAAACCGTCATAGAAGTCGTTACCGCAAATGCGGTTCGCTTCAATGCAAGTAATTCACGTTTGGCGTTAGCAACCGTAGCCATAAGAATTGCCGCAATGGATTGCCGGAGAATGTTATAGAGATTATTCATTTGCCACATAATGTTACAGAAAGGGGGAAAAAAAAAAAAGCCTAGTCATTCAGTTCGTCGAATGGTTCATCCACGATGGCATCTTTTGCTACAAGTCATTTTGGCAGTAGCTATTTCATGCACACAGCTGCTTCTTGCATAGGCAGACACAGGTCCATGGAAGAAAGGGTGGAATGGGGGGGGGGTCATCAAACCTGCATCAAACACAGTTATAATTATCGCAGATTAATCAGACAAAATGCTTTTCCATGACATTGGTGGGCAAAACATACACTTATAATGAATATCGTATATAAGGAAATTTCTTTGTAGGCTGCGACTATGTTAGGAAAAGGTTTCCTTGTACAGGCAGAGAAAACTGTACGTCAATACTACCTTCGAAAACAATTACACAGTTGGCTACGCAAACGTAACTGATGTCGGCATGCTGCATATAAATGACTAATTTATGAGCAGCAATTTACGAGCAGCAATTTATTTATGAGCAGACTTGATGACAAGACGAGGAATGAGATTGGTCTTATGTACATATGTTGGAATGGTACAAAATAATGTGCATGCAACTAAGGCGTTCTGCAACCCACCAGAGCAGGCGTTCTGCAACCCACCAAGCGTCAGCGATGGTATTTTTTTTTCTTTTTTGGTGCAGTGCGAAGGAACAGGTGTTCTTCCTGGTTCAGCATCTCGAGATGGCCGCGAGCGGCCGTTTGTGTTGGCGACACCTCGCAATGAGCTGCCACCTCCCTATGATGAAGCAATCAAGTATCCATCCCTGGACTGGACGAACTCCGGCTGCGAGCTACCAACCCTGCACACAAATGTGCCAGGCAGCGGAGGAGGCGGAACGGGACCAGCGCGACTCGCACCCCAGCAGCAGCAGCAACACTCTCCTGATCCCAGCAGACCCCCTGTTCCACCAAGACCCAGCCGACTGCCATCTGCAAGGCCTCTGGCCCAAGCGAACTCATCAGCCATGACCGAGGCGGCCACCTTGCCTACCTACGAAGAATTACAGAGACGGGGCACTGTGCCTAACCCAGAAATAGTGCTCACTGTTTCAAGCCACGTTCGCAACCAGAGCGCTTGAATGCGGCACTACGGTGATTACTGCAGCCTACGACGACTGTACGCCTCGCTCAGGAAAGCAGAGTGCACGGTGCGCGATGTTGTCCTGGAGGCGTCCTGCTGATCTCAAGTGTTTAGGGTGCTCTCATTCAGTACATATGATTGTTCACTTAAAGCTTACCACAGGTTGGCTTCGATAAACGGAGTACCAGGCTGGGAGCATGTTGAGAACATGTGTTCCAGTTGCTAGGCGTGGTTCTAGTCAGAAATTCAGTTGGCAAAGCCACGTTTGCAGTCTGAACAAATGCACCTATCCCATGCTGCTAAATGCGGTGGCTGCTTTTTGAATGTCAACAAAAAAGTAACAATGTTACATAACGTGGGGAGGGACATCCCCCGGGTTCGCGCATCTCGATCAGACGCTACATGTGCATTAAACGTGTAATTCAAATACCAAGCTATAAATGCCACCAGCAAACTGAATATGCTGCTGCGGTGAATTTCTCATACTAGCATTTCATGGTGCAGGTCGCTACAGAAAGAAAGGCTGGTCAGTGAGATGAAGTGAAGAAGCACTGACTATTGACCGTATGAAAACAGTAGGGTGTCTTCTCAATAGGTGTAAAACATAACGCACTGCAAGTGTGCAGTAAATGCCAGTGACAGGGCAAAGTGCCTTAATACCAACTGACACAACGGTTACATGTCCTTTATAAGCAAGTTTAAACAAAGCTTGAAACTATAGAAGAGCATGGTTGTGATTGCATGCCCATTGAAGACCTTCCAAGTGCCTTGCGCTGAATGGCTGGTGACCAAAGCGAGTCTTCCCTGCTCCAGTGAACTGTAGCGTGGCACAAATGGAGCACCGAGTAAACATTAAGTTTCGTGCGCTCTTTGTTGTGTCATGACTCAACTGTGTGTGATGAAGATCAACGTGCCTTCTGTTACTTCGGTGAAGAATAGAGGCACATGAAGAAGAAATCAGCATGAACATGGTTCCTGTTATCCTTGTTATCTTTGCACTCCCGAAGTTGCCAAAGAGGTACTTGTTTGTCTCAATCTGGTCTGTCTCAATTGGTGCTGTCAATTTTATGCAACTGCCCCTTCTGGGATGCACAGTTACAAATGGATTTTCTACATTTCCTTTACTAGATTTCATTACCCCAAGAACAGTGGTGCAACACTGACTCAAGAAATTTAATACTGAGAGTCCTACGCCTTGTTGTTCTAGGTACAATAATCTAGTTCTAGGTACAATAATCTAATTGAGTAATAATGTGCACATTAGGAGGCAAAATACAGAAGATTTCAGGACACGCTAAACTTATGCAAAAGTCACTTATGCAATTTATAATATTAACTGCACAGCACATTACTGATAGGACTGTATAGTAGCATTCTGCGATAATACTACTACTAATAATATTAATAATAATAATAATTGTTTGGGGTTTATTGTCTCAAAACCACCATATGATTATGAGAGACGCCGTAGGGGAGGGCTTTGGAAATTTCGACCACCTGGGGTTCTTTAACTTGCCCCTGCCTCAAGCATTTTCGCCTACATCATAAATGTGGCCGCCCGCCATGGCCGGGATTCGTTCCCGCGACCTGCAGGTCAGCAGCTGAGTGACTTGGTCAGGAGACCACAATGGTGTGTCACAGTAGCGTTCTGTAAGCTGTAAGTTCTGTAAGCAAGCTGCCTCGCGAGCTTGTAAATTTCGTATGGCTTCAACTTACCATCATTTCCACAGCTAACTGACTTATTCTTACTTGGCTGCATCCTGAGGTGCGAAAACAACATTTAGGGAAGGGGAGGAATATGGGCTAAAGGAAGCCATGGATAATTTTGGCGCTCGCGAGGCGATGCGCTCCAATGCTGCACGTCATAACGAGTGCGACTGTACATTGAATGCCATAATGTGTAAGTGTGACTTTGAGCAGGAGGCTGTGTTAGTAATAACGAATTACACTGTTATAATTCAGCCAGAGTGCAAGAGTTTATAAAATTGAATGAAGAAATAATTTTTAACTGTGAAAGCTAGTTCACTTGCATAACACTAAACAAAAAATTGGCAAAGCTAGCTAAGCCGGGCAAGGCTACGAGAAAAAGCGTAGTTGAGGCCCCTAGGTAGTTTTGACCACCTGTGGTACTTCAATGCCCGATCAACAATAGAACAAAGGCCTCTAGAATTCTGCTTCGATTGAAATTCGTTAGACACGACCGAGATCCAACCAGTGTCCGAAGCCGAGTACTGTAACCACTAAGCCAGCACAGGGGTGCAGGCACACTTCCTTTAGAAATATACCTTCGCACCCTAGCTGCAACATAAAAAGCGTCACTAAAATCATTTAACAACTCTGGGCCAAATTTCAAGCACTCAAGATTGAATGAAGTGAGACTCCAATGTACTGCAAACAGGCAACATGGGCAACACAGAAGAGCAGAGTAAAGGTGAGATGCTCAAATCTACTGTATACTACAAGCACTGCACGAAAACAGAATATTTTAAATTTTTTTCTCAGCCCCCCTGTGTTGTGTGTGGTCTGAGCAGTTATACAGCTATGTTATCATCAGGTTTGAATAGTTTTGAGTAGTGGCCAATAATAAAAGCACCAAGAGGAATCGCTACATTATACAGGTCCAGTTACTGTTATGAAACATCCATACGTTTGAATTCCCTGCCCACAAAGTCAAACTTCACCTTCTTTGCGCACCTCTCTTTCTACAGCAAAATGACAGTAAAAGCCTCGAAATGGCTATTGTCTATGCACGGAATGTGTCTAGTACTAAAAAGAATTCCATCACTACCAGGATAACTTCTAAAATCCATCTAGTATCAAGTCAGCAGTGAAACGCTGCGACTGCAATGATTTTGAAACCTTCACTTCTTTGTTTTATCAAACTGTGTCAAAACTGTGCCCCCATGAGCCATGAAACAAAGGCTGCACATACTATGCCCACCATAGCACCTGAAGCACTACGTGGAGTTTGTCGCCACATGCAAGAAACCATGGGTGCATTGATAGAGTTTTCATACAATCACAACTTGGAATATTATAAGCCATCACATCATTGCACCTGAAGCCCTCCATATCACTACATGGAACTACCCTTTACCAAGGACATTTCAGAACATGTGGTTGTGAAACATATAAGATAATAGTCAATGAAACATCATATTGCTGCAAAAGAAGCACAAAAAAATGCAAGCTTTCTTTTTTTTTTCAGCAATAACGACATATCAACCATGAACCAACTAGCCCTTTACTGCATTCTGCTATCGTATTCTATCAAGTCTAAAACTACACAGTAGCACAACACCAACTGGCAGGTACTTAAGGAAATTGCCGAAAATGGCAGAGGCAGAATTTGGAACAAAACTCTACACTGTTTTTTTTATAGATGGCGTACGAACATTCAGCATCTTGGCAAACAAAACTGAAAAAGGTTCATACAAAAGCCACATAGTAAAATATTCAAGCGTGCTCTGAACTTTTCCATTATTTATGGGAGTAGTCAATGTATTTTGTCGTTGTCAACAAGACCACTGTTTTTATCATCCTTTCCATATTGCTTTTACTGAGTGAAATACTACTCTGTTGGATGGTACCGCCTATATGGCGAACCACTGTAATTGTTTTGTTTTTTTTCTACCTTGTCAACAAACCAGGATGGCAATGACAACTCAAGATAACTATTTGAAAATTAGGTAAGTGTGCTATATATAATCCATACACAATGTCATAATATCTAAGGATTAAGAAGTGAAGGTGAATAGAAAGAAGTTAAGTTTAGCCATTTACAAGCTATGCTAAAGAAAACAGCAGACTCGCAGACCACCAAGCATAACTTGCATAAATTTAGCACGACTTTATTTGTAAAGCATAATGACATCCAAAAAATCTAAGGTATAAACAACACTAATTGAATACGCTCTGGATGTTCAATTACAGATCTGCACGCCAGCACGCATAATGCACGAAAAACTATAATTACCACATACTCAACCTGTTAGTAAAAATAGAATGATTCTTGTAAAAATAAAATCAAAGCTTTACATTCCTAAATTACTGTACTTGCACGAATAGAGGAAGTTTTTTTTTATAGAGTAATAGAACTCCTTAGACATGAGAAGTCCATGTTTCATACTCATTGCACTAGCAACTGATGTATTGAGGAAATACATCACTGTCTACATGTAAATGTTTGATAAGCAAGATGCGTGGCCAACAACACATGTAAGCCTGTGTTGAAGCAAATAACCAAGGTGGTCTGTGCTGTCTTGATGCTGCAAAACATCACTGTTATGATTGTATTAATTAGCTTCATAATCAAGTTTATGTTCCTTAAGCGCTCCCCTTTACATAACAATTGAGTCTGTGTTATGTTTGTGCAAATACAGCAGTTAAACAGTGCAGTTTTAATAGAAAACAGTTAGAGAGGCCACACAACATTCTGCGGCCTATTTCGCTTAAAAAGAAATCTCAACTTATTATCTTTCAAATTCTCGCAGCGTAAAAGTACTCCTCGGTTCCTTCCGCTTCCACCACTGCTTGATCAAAGAAACTAAACAATTAGATCTTACGCACGATGTTCGATTGGGCCTGCCTTGCAAGGGTTTGTCTAGTGTGAAAACAATGAGGAGGGAAATAAAACTGGCAGAAGAGTATCCCTACAGCTTGATATGTACACCTATGAAGTCTTTCAACAAAGAGCCACACATGCGATTTCCCAGTTCCAAAAAATAAATAGACTCTCCAGTCAGCTGCCCCCGCTACTATAGGTCCTTGTTTGGGTTGAAAAGGATCAGGTTCTTGGTACTCCACGGGATTCCAGAGCACTTGTACACAATGGTCCACACGTAAGGGATGAAAAACTCTTCGGGTTGAGACTCTTCCACGTAGCGGAACTTGAGATCGGGAAACTTCTGCAATTTTGGCATGACATCTGGCGTCATTCAGTGTGCCACAGCCGACGCTTTATGGTAGCCAGCATTTCTAAAATGCTGCTTACTGCATAGATCGTGCACATCTAACGCTGCGGTGAATTGAACATCATGGAATAGAACACACGAAATCCAGAACAATGCACTATTTGCACAGTAATATAACCGCATTAATAAAGTGCACAAAACGGTGCGGGGTGCGAAAGCCAGCTTGGAACCTTCAAGGAGACACCATAAATGAAAATTTGAAAGAAGAAAAGTATATACAAAAAATTCTTTTAAGTATGAAAGTAGATCGTTTTTTCGCATCTTTAACCTTATCACACTTCACTCTGTACAATTTTGATCACCCTAGCAAGTGATCTCTGAAGCACAATGGCAAGAGGCATGCCCCGTTTCATAGATGCTCTTTTTGTATATATCGACAGAAAAACACGAAGTTCCTCAGTCTAGCAGTAAGGTAACATGTCGTCGTTAGGCAACAATGAGTAAGTTGTTAGCCGAGACTGAATAAATAACTCGGGAAATGCTGGCAGAGAGAAAAATGTGGACTTGAAGTTGTTTATATTGAGCTTAGTTTTCACAAAACCACAATTTTAGTCATGATAGCGTGATGTTTTTTCCTGCGCATACTAAATAGTCATGTGGCAGTATACTGAATTAAAATTAATGTTTCAAAACGAATCATACTTGTTAGGTGGAAAAGTATACAAAGATCTGTCTAAAATCATGTACTAAGAGAAAAATGAAAACTTCATAGTTTTCTTTTTCCTTTCTAAAATAAATTTAATTCCTTGAATAGAACACAAGGGCACTGAACAAAATGTTGTACAAATATGGCCGACATCTTCATTAGTTGCTGAAAAAAAATGCACCAAAATATGGCCCAAAATACATGGGAGGTATAGGGCTTATCCTGTCCCTTAAACGAAGCTCTATCATGAACTACGAATGTGTACCATGGATGCCTGGTGGTGTCTACTTCTATCTTGTCAGTGTGTGTGTTGCACAGCCAGTCATGGATCAGTATCAACCTGCCTAATTGTCAGTACTGTTGCTAAAAATGAGTAGCAGTGTCTTCGCTACAAAATGTGTACAATATTAACCTTATAGGTTGCGCATCATTTCCATATTGCTCGATGTGAAAGTTTAGGCCAGTTGGTGTTTTGCAGTTCACAATCACGATAAAAGCGTGGACTCCAGCTATAGTAGCTAGCTAGTGGGAAGAAAATTTTAAGCAGTAATGCATCGCAGCACTGTTGAAAACATAACCAGAGGTATGTGATAAAACAAACTCTTGCTTGAAATTACGACCTACCTGCTGTGACTGGTCCAAAAGTGTTGCGCCTCCATGGTGCATCACGACAAAAAATAGGCGAGCTTCATAACGAGGTCTCTATGTTCTAATTATAGTCCACGCCTCCCTCATTCGCCACTCTTGAATGATGAGCCACATGGCCTAGTATCGCACTATTGGCACTAATTCCAATCTTTGATCAATATCAAAATACAGTCTAACTCCGCTACAACGAACGCCACTTCAACGAAATTTCCCTACAACGAAAAATTCACGATTCCCCGTCAGCAGTCCATAGGAGCCAATGCATAAATATTGTTTCCACAACAAGCACTTCTTCGATCGTCCCGCTTCAACAAATTTTATGATAATATTCCAGGCTCAGATATTTATTGCTATGCAGTAAATCAAATCCTTAACATTTTGATGCATTTTCAAAGCCTGAAAATGCATCAATGAAGTCTGAAACATGCCTTGGCACCACCAGAAACCGCCGCTGTTCAAAAAGCATGGGCGCCACCATTGCTCAATAGCGATGGCAATGAGACTGCCCTACTTTTGTTTTGCCACTGGCTTGCTTTTGAGCTGCAAACCATCCGAAGCTGAAGCTGAGTCGCTCAGTTCATGGTTTTCTTCACGCAGCTGCTGGGTGCAATGGGGAACGATGCCTTTTCCAATTGTGATGCTTATCATTAGGTTCCCACTTGGCCAGTGTGGTAACTGATCAGATTTGCTGTTCGTCCGCATTATCCATAGAATTAGCTAGCTGCGAGTGATGGATGATAAGAATGGCATAGAATAATGCAAAAGTCGCCGCTCCATGATACCCTGCCTCCATCTCGGCGTTGTCGGATACTTTTGATGGCGGACAACTGCTGGTGTTAACGAGTTAATGCAACTGTTTGGTTTCTTTACAAAGGCGGTTTTAGGCATTGTTTGAGCATGATTTTCACCATGGCCTCGCTATGCAAGGGTGAGAATCACGTGGTAATGCTGCTGTGAAAGAATAGGAACCAGCGGACATTTTTTGAATTTTGAGAATAAACGTTCCCCTGTTTTGCTAGCACAGATCAGCTATACTTTTTCGATTTTACCACAACAAAATTTTCGCTTCAGCGAAACTTTGTCCGCACCCCGTCAGTTTCGTTGTAGCAGGCTTCGACTGTAGCTTTTTGTCTCTCCCACAAAGGTGTTGCTGAAAATATTAATCATGATCTCTCGTTCACTTAAAGGAAGACAAAATCGGATACTTTTTGAGTGTGAAAGTGCCACATGCATCAAATATATAGTAAGTCAACAGACTGCCGTCTCAGTGTTACATGCGTCGACACTACAACTATGATTTTCTGCAAAGCCCATAAAGCCTACTGTAAGAAACATATGTAGCAACAGTTTCTTCTAAATGTAAGCACTGACAAAAGAGTGGCATCTTGTGTTCTCCTTCAAATATGACACACTACACAAGAACAATATGTAGAAATAAGAAAAGAAAAAATGAAAGCCCAATATGCAGAGAAATAAATGTCTCACTGTACCTTGAGCCTATCTGTGGGCCAATGTAAAGCTGCTTCTTTAATGGACTCCATTACTTCATTCACAGAGACGTGCTTGTCGGGTGACTCGAGGCGTGATGAGAAATACGAGAGAACCTGTTGATATGCAGGAGAATGTGAAATAGCCGTTAACAATGCCATAATTTGATGAAGACACAGGTGAAATCCGCACTCTTGGCCATTTTGTTACCATATTTTTGAATTCATTTGCCTCAGTAATGTTTCTAGCAAGCAAGCAGCTTAATGAAAACTTCATATAGGGAGCCATTTAATAAAATCAAATACGTGCTACAGTAGACTCTGAGTAAAAAGAACCTGTTAAAGGGACCAGCTGCTTAAACAAAACAAATGCTTCTCACAAGATTGGTTCCATTCTCACATTTTGCATCTCTGTTCATCTCTCACTAAACGAAACTCCAGTTAACGAAACATAATTTCCTGGTACCTCCAGGTTTCGCTTAATGAGAATCTACTGTATTATGGCTTTTTTGTATATAGATATAATTTGCAGTAAGTGAATGGGATGCACCTTTCAGGTGCTAGTAAACTTCATGCAGAAAAGGTGACTATTTTCATAATCAAGAAATATATGTGACTGTTGAACAAATCAAAAATTTTGACTATTCAACGGGTTAGCACTATCAAGCTTACAGAACGTCTGACCCCATGGCAGATGTTGCTACACTACTGGGATGTTACGCATGACAACCTGGACAAGTGCACTCATACTTCTTTATAACAAAGTTGCATCTTCCACGAAAGTAAGTTTGTTATATCCGAAAATTTGTTACAAAGGTTTATTCCTAATCTATTGCAAGACCATTTTTAATTTACTTCGTTATAAGCAACATTTTGTTATATCTGGGTTCGTTACATTGAGGTTTCAGTGTTGTACTTATTCCGGATCACTATACGAAAATCTCTTTGCTACCAATTTTACAACTATGTCTGGCTGTTGATGAATTCGCCCTTGCGCTGTCTATTGCTAGCTTTCTGGTTAGCTGAATTAGTAGAGCGACTGCGCCGCAAAGGCGTTGCTCCCAGGTTTGAACCCAGAACCAGGACTAATTTTCTGGACACTAAGAAGCTTTCCTTTCTGAGAAATCCGTATGGGTTTCCTTGCAGCTTCGTGCTACAATCAACTGGTTGTCTTTCCCTTTCTTAACCCTTCCGCCACATTGTAGGTTTTGCAGGACTCATTTTCAAAATATGTTTCATGTAAAATATTGTGAAAAACAACAAGAACAGAGAGCTTACTACCCAGAGACATGAAAATGGGGGTAAGGACCCAGCTGTCTACCTCAACAACAATAATTGTCGGCGTTTTCGCATATCAAAACCAAGATATGATTATGAGAAACATCATAGTAAAAGGGGGCTCTGGCAACTTAAACCACCTGGGGTTTTGTAACATGTATCTAAGCCTGTGTGCCCTTATTGAAATGTGGCGACTGCGGCCAGGATTAGATTCTGTGACCATCAGTTCAGCAGATGAGAACCATTACCGAGGCAAGTAGCTGTCTACCTTCTGAAGTTGCAGCACACATGTGAAAAATCGAGAATGCTCTGGAGCTATGCAACACATTTTATGCAGTTTTCATCAATGCTTTTCCTTCCATGCTTAACTGTGCCAGTTCGTATAGACTACTGGTGTTACAACATTCTTTGCCATGCTACAGTTCTGAACCAGCATAAGCGGCGTCTCATGGATGTTGCTTGAAGTACACAAAAAGATCAGCTGCTCACCGTGTCCAAGTTCTGGACCACGTCCTGGAACGTGGGGTGCAGCCGAAACGGGTCAAAGATCTGCCGCTTGTAGAGCAAGGAGTACAGCAGGTTTGGGTTGCTCTGCAGCTGATTGGACAGGCAAGAGTTGATAATCTCCAGGATCATACGGAGTACCTCTTCCAGGATAGACAGATCTTGAAGCTGCGTCACATATGGGAAGGACACCATTGCTTAGTGTTACTTTCAGAAACCTCGCAGGCAATAAACTATGCTTCTTGCTACAAATAAGTGGCTGAAGTGCGCTATCTCAAAAAACAGCCCCCCCCCCCCCCCCCTTCCCCCCTGCCCTTTTTTTTTTTTTTTTGGAAGGTGTGTGCAAAGGCATTAGACATCTTCTAACCTCCAACCTTCAGCACACTTGGGAAGCTGGTATCAGCATATATTTGATAAAAAGTGCAATTTGATTCCTCGTAATCACATGCCATTCTTTTTTAATGATAAAAGATGTGTTTGAATGCTCTCATTCAAGAAGAGACTGGATGTTCTCATTATTAGTACAATGAAATGCTTGCAGTTTTTTCTGCAACATTGATCTGGTGGCTTGCATGCGCATGATTTTCATCGAGCTACTCTACAATACTTAACATGCTGCGTAAACACATGCCTTTGGTTCAACGCTGATGTGCAGGATCAGAGGCAACATACTAGAAAGTAAGGTAAAAGCAGCACAAACACAAGGACAGCAGATGAAACAACAACATGAGTGTTGTTTGTTTCCACTTCTGTTGCTGTACTTGCACTGTTCTTTTTTATTTTCCACTAAAAACCAAATCCAACTAAAACTCAATTTGCAGTTTAATACAGATTATATGCACATGCAGCTAGTGAGCGAAATGATTTGTGAAACTTAATAACTTGTTGCACGAGTTGGTAAATACATAACATCATGACTTTTGTGCTAAGAAAGACGGCTTGTCAGTGCATCACGGTGTTACACATTTCATTGCAACAATTGCAACGAACCAGTTGTTAGCAGCGCCTGTGCTGTGTTCTCTGATGTGTCTCTCTTTCTTAGCAGAATAATTGAGACGTTTGCAAAACTTCTTGTATTTCAAACTGCTTGTTTACTTTAAAGGTATTATTGTCCTCTGTTTCATTTTTTACATTGCTAATGAACATAATTGCGTGAAGTGCACAAGAAACTTGAACAAGTTGCCAACTAAAAAGAAATTTGCAGTGTAATTTCTGAATGCTCGTAGCATGTGCCAAACTGCTTAATTCTTAAAAATGGGTTGAAAGAGTGGTTGAGCACCTCTGACGAAGCTCTTACGCTTTAATTTCTCATGACACCACAAGCCATGCCATACATAAACTTGGAACTTCTTTTTCAACACTGCTGACTGCTAAAGCTTTTGTCGTCAACCCTCAACTAGTATTAGAAGAGAAGTTATAATGTAATGAGGAGAATAATAAGATGACTAATTTGCCATTGAATATGATGCTAGAACATTCTAAAGACGAATAGCAGCATGCATGCTCATGGCAAAAAAAAAAAGAGAGAGAGAGAGAGAGAGCACAACCATTGGGTGGGATGGTCACTTGCGATAATCTTTTTCTGCAAAGACTAAACATTCATTATTGGCTTACAACGTTATTATTTTCATAAGTTCACCTCCACTATGTTTCCATCTATAAATACTATTACGAAAAATGATTCCAAGTGCTTCTGATGTAATTGGCATTAGCTTGTGAGGTTCCTACACATTTCTAAATACACTTGTTTCTGAAGGAGCATTTACTTTTATGCTACGCTGCTTTTACCAGTAACAGAAGCGGCATTTTGGTTTTTGGAGTAGATTCCGAAGCAGAAAAAATGGTGCTTTGGAGCAGCGATAAGAGTTTTTGGCGCAGAAAAAAATGCTACTTTGGAGCAACTAGTGATGTTTTCAGAGCAGATGGAAAATATTACAAACGACTCCTGAAGTTTAAAGCTGGAGTTCGTGCTTGAAATAGCATGAAACAAATGATTAAGGAGATGAATGGTCACTGAATACTAAGTAAGATGAGCTAGCTATGTTCGAAATGTCAATAGTTTGGTCGATATAAATAAAATCGATTCAGTTGAGCACCGAAAGACAAAACCGCCATTGCTATGAAACTACTATAGCCGACGCAACAGTTTAGAATTTGTATGAGTACTGTATGTTAGTATTTTCATATTTCACCAAAATAGCCAACCTTGAAAATTTCAAAAATGAAATAAGCTAAATGAGCTTTACACTTGAAATGCCAGTTATTGTGAGATAAATGAGCTCAAAGCTGCTGAAGTGATATATGTAATCATTTGCACATAAAAGTCATCAAAGCAACAGCTAGCAATCATTATGATGCTGAACTAATCTCACGAACATTAAAAAAAGAACTAGTCTGCTTGTCAGTTATCTGTATCCACAATGTTCAGGCATGTAGCTTTGTCAATATGCTATTATACAGCCAGATTTTATTTCGTTTAGGCTCGCTGGATGGTTACGCGATTGAAGTTTACGGTTTTCAGTTTCCTAGTACCATTGGAGTATGTTTAGAGTTATCATCATCATCATCATCATCATCAACCTGACTACGTCTACTGCAGGACAAAGGCCTCTCCCATGTTCCGCCAGTCAACTAAGTCCTGCGCTTGCTGCTGCCACTTTATACCCGCAAACTTCCTAATCTCATCTGCCTACCCAACTTTCTGTCTTCTCTTATTTCGCTTGCCTACTTTAGGAATCCAGTCAGTCATCCTTAATGACCAGCGGCTATCCTGCCTACGCATGTTTAAAGTAGTTAGTGACAAAATCACAGTTCGGAGCAGTATGGAGCAGAATTTTGCTTTTGGAGCAGTGATTCAATCACTGTTTTCCTGCTCCTCATTTATGAACTATAGTGCCTTGAATGGTTAAATGAGTGAAGATGATGATGCCAGGAAATAAGCAGCTATGTATAAAGAGCCACTTACAAGGTCTGTTGAAAAGTCGTCATCACTTGGCTTCAGGTCTGGATTGTTTTGGATTTGGTCCATCACCTTGGATAGCCTTTTAGACAGTGTTTCGAACAAGCTAAAAAAGAAAAGCAGCAATAAGAGCCTGAATGTGCATGCTAACCAAAACAAGTGGGGAAAAGGCCACAACAATGCTCTTCCTATAGATGTCACGCACCTGACAAACCTCTGGCAAACATACGGATGCAAGTTCTTGAAGTGACTGGACATATTTGCCAAGGCAGCAAGGCAATTTGTATGCAAGTATTTGTCCTGAAATCAAAGTGAGTACACAAACGAAAACTCTGAGTTAGTAAATGGAATGAAAATTTGAAGTTTTTTATCCTAGTGCAAGTTCTATTATGCAATTAAGAACTTCTTTCGAGTGGGCCTGCTTCTTTGAAATTTTTTTTCTCAAATGAGGTATTAAGCTAATTTTAAAATGAAAGTGAACTGGTCACCCAGCAATCTGCAGAAAACTTTCCTTACCCTCATACGTGTCATGTTGAAGTGTATGGTTCGTATGACAACCAGAATTAGCAGTCCTCCAAGTGAAATCTCGGACAATGACCGCTCCGTGTACCAAGGGATGTTTTTCAGTGTCTGCAACAAAAGCATGCGGCTTCTAATTCATCACTTCGGGCAGTACAAACACCAGCCTTAAATTAAGCCCCTGGAAGTTTTCCCCGCATGTGCATTTTAGAGCCGAACATAAAATAAAATTTCATGTTCAACTTTATTGACCATAAATGGAAAGCAGTACTATGTGTAAACTGCTAAAGCTATCGCAGCAATCTTTCAAGGCTGGTACAGTAACAGCAAGCCAATTTGACACTCATCAATTTGGAAAACAAGATCATTCAAACGTGTTCTGTGGTTCTGGCCAGCACACACACACTGCTTCATGGCATCAAACTTAAGTTAATTCAGTCGTCTTTGGAGGGAACCCAGTTAGCTCAAATTATCCTTGTAGCACCCTGAGGGCACCGTGCAGCGCTGCAAATGTGTGACCCAAAAGAGAAATAGAGCATTAAAGGAAAAATAAAAAGCCCACAGCCATTTTGGCTGTGGGCTTTCTGGAAGGTGTTGTCTCCATGCACGGTCGCATTGTTGGTATGTAATGTGGCATTCGTTCAGAGCACATTTCAGTTTAAAACAAGGGGGTCTTAGCTGTAGCCACAATGTGGAAACGCGAATGTCAAATATTGCGGCTTGCACAAGTTAAGCAACAAAGCGCTGTATTTACTTATTTTTCCTCGAGAAAGTGAAGGTGGATGGATGTAACAGACATTTCTGTATAGTTATTTTGATACTGTCAGCATTACAGTTCATTTGGACTGTTTTTCTGGTCCTGTGAAACCAGAGTTAATTATCCTTTACTGTAATTATCAGGTTTTAATTTAAAAATCTCACCAGTAGACATGAACATCAGTGAGTTATTGAATATGACACAGTATCATGATTCTGAATGTTTTGGGTTGCGTTTTATTTATGGCAAACAGTAATGACTGCTTCTTTATTGTTTTGTTTTTTGACAGCACTATATAGCTCCACTATAGTCAACATCTATATATAACATATACAGGTGTAGGAAGGCCAGCAATCTCTCCCACATTATTTTTTTTACATCAAGTACACTTGACAAAAACAGTGCCTATTACTACACACGAAAGCATCAAACTGAGCTCAGGGTGACATGCAAAATAATGACATTTTTCATGGCCCACTATGATTGCAATTAGTCATCAAGCAATTCTCTTGAATAAAACAAATGTCCAAAGCAGTGATGTGCAGCAGCAATAAATTTCATTATTCTATTTAGCAGTCACACTATGAAAAGTATGTTCATAGACATTTGATTACTACTTTTCAAGCTTACTTGAAATTTCACAATGAATAAGGGCACAGGTACGTTTCAATTACATCCACCAGCAACCTGATAAGGGTTTAAAATGTAGGTCAAGTGCAGATGCCATTCTAAAAATATGTGGACTCTGCATCATTTGCAGCTGTGCTGGGCAAAATCAGCTTGCAGGTTCACTGACTTCATACACAAATGCAAGCATGCGGCGTTCCAATCGCCACGTTTGCTACCACACACTAGAGTTGTCGAAAGCTTTCTTCCGTACCCAGAGTTCTCTCTATACTCATCACCATCAATCTAGATAGTTTTTATTCTCATGGCTGATAGCTGACATGGTCTACTGATACAAAAAGGTTAATAGAAATTTTTCTATAATTGCACTCAACTCCTCTCATCTGCCGATCAGGCCGTGTCAGCACAGCTTGATTAGTAATGTAAAAATGTTCAAGTTTAATGATGAGTGTGTACATCATGCAAGGATTCAACACATCCCACACACGTACACTTATCGTTGAGCCAGCACATGTGCCTATGGTTTGCCAAACTATAGTGTTCTCAGCACAGGACATTTCAAAAAGATGCCATGATTCTTACAATGTCGTGCACAGCTTCATTGAAAAGATCGTCTTCGCTGAGTATCAGGAGCACAATGAGGGACATGTAAATGTGGTGAGATGTTCTCTCAGGTGCCTCGTAGAGAATCTTCAAAATAGGTATCATCTGAAAATGACAAAACAGCAAATAATATTATTGACCTTCGAGAACACTACTCATATGACTTTACGTACACAAGAAACATTCTAGGCATTCCATGCACTATTATGTCAAGTGAAAAATACGACCCAAAGGCCTGAAAATAGGTACAGGGACAAAAAGTAATCAACTGGAACAAAAAGCTTTGAATATAAAAAGGATTGTCCGAGAAAAGATACAACTGTTCTGGTTTTGTTCTTCGGCCAATTCCCGCTAACTGCATCCGCAAAACTGACAACTTTCCGGTTTAGAATCTTTCGAAAAATCAGTTCTCAATACGAGATTACGCCTGTTTCTGTGCAGACACTGACACAAATGATGCCAATGTGGGTGTATTTCCTGTTTTGGCAGGGTACCTACCAATTGAACTTTTCAGAATTTCCTGACTTTTCCATGACCGGTAAGTCTGCTTTGAAAACTCTGTGCACAGAAAACAAGCCCTCGTGCATCAAAATAAAAAAAAAATAAAGAAAAGAACATGGTGTACTCGCATCAACTGCAAACCATGCCACTTTATTACTTTTTCTTAGCTCAAAATATATTTTACAATATACGCAACAATAAAGTGCAGTAAATGTACACCTTTAGACGGAGAGCAAACGGAGAAGATGGTTTATTGGCACTAAAATTGGCTAACTGTTCAAAGATTCACTCTGTTGCTGTAGTATAGAGGCCTAAAGCTGAGTGCCTTCCATCAGCTTTCATTCTTGTGATTCAAGCTAGTGTCCTCGACTTCTAGTGTCCTCTAGTGTCCTCGACTTGTGTCCTCTAGTGTCCTCGACTTCTAGTGTCCTCGACTTGAGCTGGCACATTTCTCATGAGTCTGTCGAATCAGGAGTAAGGTGCTTCTTCAGTTTTGTGTAGTACACCAGTACAAGGGGCAGCGTTACCACTTTATCCTGCTCAAGCTTTTGGCTGGCCTCTTTGAAGGGCTCTAAGAATTCGACGTCCTCCGTCAACGAAGTCTTATTGACGTCTTCCAAGAGCAAGAGGCTTGAATCTAGGAGATTCTCTATCGCATCGTACTGACTTAGCATGGACTTGATCATGGCGAGCTTTGAATTCCACCGCGTGCATATCTCCTGGCACACACCGTGTAGCTCGTCAGTCTGCTCAGTCCCGACAGCTTTCACTTTTTGCAGTTGTTCCAAAAGGTCAGGAAGTTCCTGAGTAAGGTACCTGTCATCAAACGCGTTCCGAAGAACAGTGTTCGGGACATGCACACAGCAGTTCATCCTTGCATACGTACGAAGCGCGCTGATTATGTTGGCACCCTGGTCTGTCACGAACACCACATTGGTCAACATGCCTTCATCAATCCCCAACTTAGCACTCCTCCGTACAATCTCCTCACGAATGTTCTCTCCCGTTTTTCTCTCGGGGGGAAAGTCACTAGAACAAGGCTCCTCAGTTCCCATTTCAAACTTACGTAATGCGCCGTTTCAATGATATAGGCAATTTTCTTGTGGTCGTGGGTCCACTTGTCAAGTGTCATCGAGCAGCGACCTTCTTTCATCGCTAACTGAATCTCAGGCATCACCACTTTTCAGGGTTCGTGTGCAACTTCGAACACCCTGCGAGACACCGTCGTAGGATGCGGAATTACGGCCCTTGTGGATATACTCCCGTACTTGGCACCGATAGCAATCAGTATGTCGGCAACATTTAGGAAACCATTATCGGAAACAACGTCAAATGGCCGCATATCTCTAGCGCACCACTTCACCCAAGCAGTCGTCAGATTCCCCTTAACGGTAGATTAAACCTGGTGTTTTTTCTCAGTGAAGAATGAAGAAATGGCAGTGGTGTCACCAGCAGCCTTGCACTTGTGGCGGTTCAGATGCGACGTTCCTGTCTTCCCACCATCATATGCAAAGAAAGCTTTGCAGCTCTTGCACTGCACATGTCCTACTGGTGATAAGGTGTGCACACCGACAGCTTCCAGGAATTGTTTCCAAACCTGGCTTTTCTTAGCTTGCTTGGAGGCGAGCTTAAGTTAGCTGGAAACGAGCTTCTCTCGCAATACAGCTGTATTCATAGCGCCACGTGTACAGGAGACAAATTACGAACTATAGAACGCCCGTAACCAACACAATAAAAGCATCAGCGCGCTCTGCCGAGCTCCAACACAACATCCAAAGCTTTCTCTTTTTTCTATCCCTTTTCCGGTAGAGGGCGACACGGGTCCCACGCTACACACGTTGCAGTTCCTTGCATGAGGTTCCTTATGAGTGGACCGCGGTCTTCGCATGCTCCTCCTAGCCGGGTATCGCCTAGCAATGCAGGCATTTTCACTCTCTTATTCTTACGCGCTTCTTCCATCGTGTGCCTCTTATTTCTGCTCACGTATGAGGAGTTATCAAATCTCGCAGTGATCGCTGCAAGGCGGTAGGGCCTTCATGTTCCGGATGGCGCGAATTACACGCGCCTGTACCTTAAGATGCTTCAGGTGAGCACCTTGTCAAGACAGTTACGAAGCTTGCGATATCTGTGACAAGTTATATCCCCTTAATTCCCTCACTGCCTAATCGAAAATTAATATGACGCTTTGAAGGTGATTTACGGCTTACAATTTGACCAGAGGGATAGCCACATACAATTCGGCCTATACCTTTATAGGCGCAACGAAGGACGCTAGCAACAAATATCTTTGTTTATTTACAGATTTTACTGTATCTGTCAACCACAAATAAAGAAAAACGAAATCTTTATTGCTCATGCAGCCTGAAGCCCAGGCTCGGCCCCGGCCCGTAGCTTCAAGCCCGGGCCCGGTCCCGGCCCAGCCCAGGACTGCACTTTCGAGTCCGGGCCCGCCCGAAAACGCTTCAGACGGCCCGGCCCGGGCCCGTGCAGTGCTCTAATAAGAATTGGGGCTTCGCGGCAAAGCAGGTTTTTCTTGAATATATGCTTTCACGGCTTAGCACCTCTGCGCTGCAGTGAAACTGCCTTTACAAAGGTTGCATACAGATTATTGTGCACTTATCTGTTCATTGCGAATACTTCGAAATTTTCCACAATTTAAATTTAAATCGAAGCGCATTCGAATACTCTACAATTCATTCAAGTATACAAAGCATTCGAATATTCGCACAAGCATGCAACTGATGTCTCCACATCTTGTCAGAACATTGGCACCAATGGCATTCCTTGTCTAATAAACAAAAAAAAAAAAATGGTACAAGTGCATGCCACACTAGAAAAATATTATTCGGCTACTTACCAGCATTTCAATGTTCGACCGAGAAAGAACGTAGGTCTTGAAGTTTCCGTTTCGATGAAGCAGGAGATAAAGGAGCAACGTCGTTTGGTCGTTGTTCATGGTAGTACACAACGTGTCATACAGCTTCCCGTAGTCTAACTTGAACGAAGGAATTGCTTCAACACTACCACCAGCATCTGTGGGTAAAACGTGTGCAATCACAGTGCTCGGTTATCTTGTGCAGCAGTAGTGACAAGCGCGCCATTCAAAGCACTGGCTAACCCACCTCCCTGCTTCCCACTTGTTCCTTCCTTCCTATCTTTCTGCTCCCTTTCTTCAACCTTCTCAATCTAATGCATATGGCTGAGATTAAAGCGGCTACATTTAAGTTACTACAGAAGAATAAGAATTAAAAAGAAATACATAAATAAGGGTCACTGTATTGTATCTGATGGCATAATGATCTGGATTGCCATACCATGAAGTACACAACCAAGATATAAATGCATGCCGATTTTTTTTTTTTTTTTGCCTGCACCATAAACCAGTAACAAAAGGCTGACTGAAAAGCAGTTGCATTGTGTAAATGAAGATTAATTTTATTAGTTGTTATAATTGTTGTGAAGGCTGTCGGTTAATTTTGTCAAAGGGGCCCTACAACACTTTTTGAGGATGGTCAGAAAATGCTGCCAATTAGTTGGAGAGACTCCCGAGAGCACGCGAGCCGAATATTTTAGCGCAGCATATGGCCTGGAATTCACAATAAATTATCAAAGTCAGTTAAAAATTGCTTTCTTTTTTCTCGACAAATGATGGAGGAATCTCAAATAGAAGATAGAAGGCCATCTATCAGCCATTGGCTGGTTTAAACATGGCGCGTCGGTCATTACAGGGATCACTGCAGGAAGCCGAGGCTTGTCCACGCGTGCATGCAGAATCACACTGAAAAAGTTGCATACGTATTCGAAGAAAAAAACGATAAAAAAATGCTCAAGGTCACGAGATGCGCATGATGTATTTCCTTTGCTCATGCCATCCCTCTCTCCTTGGTTTTTAGTGCTTTCGTCAGGATGAGAGAAGAGGGAACGCAATTGCAGCGTGCGATAAATCTTTAAAACTCTGCTCGTGCTGTACAGATTCTAAAATTTTTTGTGGTGTTCAATTCGTGAGGTGATGAGTTCTTTTAATGAATTCATTCCAAGGTTACTTAAAAAAGTGTTTCAGGGACCCTTTCACAAGAACTGACGTTTAGAAATCAAGAACACAAGATACCCAAATGCACTCTTGCAGCACAAGTAGTGCAAAATTGTGTCACAAATGTGACCACAAACCAAAATGTGACAGCCATTCAGAGGAATGATTGTGTTCTCTTATGGCTGGCAGATTTTGAGGCCGAACTAGAGGCTTCTGAGAATCGGCATGGCAGTGCCAAGTCGATTCTCAGCGGCAGACTCCTGACTGATTCTGATGAGCTTTAGTTGTTTAACGAGCACCTAAATATAAGTAGTAGATGGGTATTTTTGGGTTCCATCTCGATTGAAATGTAATGAACATATCTCGATTCCAGAACTGAGCTTGCATCCTCAAGCTCAGCAGTGCTACACTAGGCTACCACAGCATGCCCTCCAAGGCGCTGAGAAACGCGAACCGCTTGCTGAAAGCAGCAAAAGCAACATGCGACCTCTACCTGTATCCTGTTGTGCAAACTGTGCAGTTCGGTGCGTACATCCATCATAGGCCGGCAAAACAATTCGAGCTTACTCAGACTCACTTCAGAAGTATGTTTTTCGCTTTTAAGACTCACTTGAATTCAGACTGGCCACAATTTCGCTAAAGCGGACTCACTCAGATTCAGACTAAGGACTCACAAATACTTCTGTCAAGCCAATTCACCCACACTTAGACTCAACAAAATTTTCTTTAAGTAGACTCACTTGAACTCAGACTTCGCCAAAATGTAACTCAGCTGCACTCCCTCGGAATCAATTTTTGTTTGAGCTAGTTGTCTAACGAGTGAGTTTGCCGACGAATGATATCTGCCCCACAAGGCAAAAATTATTGTAGGTTGCCAGCTGCATGGCATAAGAGCTTTGACACTATTTCATTGTCCAGAGCAGCACATAACGCAAGGACAGCGCGCCATATGACGAAGACATACATGTACTATACTGTTCCTGCGTTATGTCCGGCGTTACATGAAATGGCATACCAAAGTGCCAGAACTTTTGTTATAAAAAAGCAGAGTTCTCACCTTGAGAGTTGACAAAGGAGAAGAGGGCTTTCTTGTATGGTACGGTAACAGCCTTGTCGCTTGTGCAGTGGTTGACCAGTACGAGGAGTAGCAGCAGGCTCTGTTGGGCAAGTACTGTCTCTTTCATACGTGCTGCTTCCTTGTCCTCTTCCTTGCTCCCATAGCCCAATGTGAGCGCATTCCAGAGGCCCGCTGCAGCAAGACATACCTACCTTAACCTTTTTGGCTCAGAAGGAAAGCTATGCTTATCTAGTGCGCCATTTGAAAAAAAAAAAAAAAAAGACATCTGATAATCCAACTGAATGAATGGTGTTCAACTTTTAGTACTCAAGCATGAAGTTGTAAAAAAAAAACTTTTTCTCTTGCTTTGGCACCTTGCTGAGATCGTCTGTAGGAAGAGCGAATATGCTTCAAAGAATATTGAAAAGAAAGAGGGATGATTACATAACTTAGCTGCTCCATCTAGCAAGAGCATTCATGCAATACATTGCATTGCATTGAAACAGGTATAATTAGGAGAAGTCAAAATGTGCACTGAAAACCTTCAATGTACTTTGAAGCCATTACTGAAATGTACAATAAAGTGTCTTTCCTAACAATCTTTGCATTTGTAACACAGACTTATCACATGATACTTCTTTAAATGATCAACAAACTCATAGTACAAAAACTTCACCTTTTTGCACGAGTTCCTTCACGTTTCTACCATCCTTAAAGCATCACTAAAGTAAAATTGAACTTGGGGTATGCGATGAGCACTATGAAGTCCTTTTCTAGGCTAAGGCTAATATTCAAAGCAGTAGTCAATGTAGCACAAATGTCAAAGGTGCCCTCATCCTTGCCTTATTTTGTTTAACCAACCAAATGCTGTTAGACCAATGTGACCAAGACACGAAGACATGCAAAAATCCTGAATAGTCAATGAGATTCTAACAGTCACACCAGTACATTTTTAGGAGCGTTAGGTTAACAAAATTACTTCTAAATACTATATGTCTAGTATATGCAGTGGCCATGTGTATAACATTTAATGAAAAAAAGCAAGCAGCAAACATCCTACTAATACATGCAGCGCATGCATCAGCTTTTAGAGGGTGCCCCAGCTAACCCTAGCCAGAGTTTAAAATATGCCGGCACACTCTACGATAACATGACCAAATGCACGTTGTATTTGGTCATGTCATTTCTGCACTTTTGCATGCTCCAGGTCACACTTCTTATGTTTTTTTTTTTTTGTTATGCACGATTGTTCAATTAGGTAAAATTGAATAAATAACTTTCGAAGCAATGAAGCTGGGCTATAATTCACAATCAGAAAGTTGTAGATCAGTTGGCGAAATGTCAGATTAGACAGATTCTTGTTTTCTACCTAGTGAGTAGAAGTGTTTTTTCTGCTCACTACGCCCACGAAATGTAAGAAAATACCGCACGAGAAGCCCACTAGCACACCGTAATTACAGCACTCCCGTACGTTCCAGGTACATATGATACGGTTCCCTTGCAACTGTTCACGACAAAGGAAAGCTGATGCAGCGGTTATCGCTTGTGCTGCCTGAAGCAACAGGTGCACTATCTAAGAACCGCTATCTTTGCCACTGCCCTGTCGCCTTCTTTAAGCAACAGCCCACACGGCCAACTGCCATGGTCATTTGCAGGAAAGAACATTAGGACACTGAAATCACAGTTCGCACAGGCACATGAGTAAGCATGTCATATGGCACTTTTTTTTGCATCTCACGAAAATTTGCAGTAAAAAAAAAAAAAAACACTAATACTAAACAGACAGAAAACTTTAGGAAACTCTAATCGAGCAATTAGCACACAGACTTACAACTTTCTCATTAAAAATTTCTGCCCAACTTCGTTGCTTCGAACACTGATCACTAATGTTGCTTAATTAAGCAATAAGGGGTACACACATAAAGTGTGACTTACTCGATATAGTAGTCAACGACATGCATTTGGTTGCGTTGTCATGGAGTGCATTGGCAAATTGCTGAACCCTGGCTATAGTTAATTGGGGCCCCTAGTATACTCTCATGCTCTCGTTCTAATTTAGCATTAACACTTCAGAAATCAAGCTTGCGTTTTGTCAAAGTACAACATAACCATGCTAAGCAACAATCTGCTCATAACAGCAAAACATAATCGGAGGCCTTCATACCTTTGCAAAAAGCGCTCCAAAGCACTATAAAGTGTGCATTCACTCACAAGCTAATCCAATGATGATGCTTCCACCTCCCTCTGAGCGGTAGTAACTCTCTGGGCACTTGTCCTTGTCGCACAAAGTTTTGCAGGAGACTTTTTGTGAACAGCAGGGCATGAATTGAGCTGCAATAAAGCATATAAACTCTTGGACTTTGTCGATACCAGCTGAATTGAATAGGCCTAAGTGAACTTTTTGCTTCGTATAATGCATAGTAACACTATATCTTACAAATGTGAAAGCAACAGAAACAATGCAGGTCCACAGAAGCAAAACTTGAGTGCTATATTTAACAGTTAAAGGAGTTGTAATCGACATCACAGTGGTTTGATACAATAGCTCAGTGTTATAACTTCCCCTTCCCCTCATGATTACTACAACTACAGCAGATTTAGGTGCAGCTCACAGCCTTGTCATATGCCAGCTGCTTCCAATCTTTTCCTTAATGACTGGCTTGAAACAATGCATATGTAACATAAATGCAGTACTACTATTGCAACACTGAAAATCCTTTCAATGCAGTTTCACATTCAACAAGACACATGCTTACATCTGCTAATTATTTTTCAGTCAACTACAATTAATTGGGTTCATTGGCACATCTCTCAGATAACTTTCCCATTGCCCTTCCTACAACACAAATAAATCTTGGGTTTCAAGTATAACAGCATTACTAAGTTAACTGAGGTCTGTCTTCACCAGAGTTCTTACTATGCTGCTGTTACTACACTCCGAAGTTTACGTCAAAGAGCCATCTAAGCAACCTTGACATGATGAACCTCAGTTACCTTAGAGGTTCCATAAGATAGTTTTGTAGAACAATTCACAACAACTACAACAGTAAAATGTATGCATTGAACAACTACTGACCACTTTCCTTGAAGCACAGACTTGTAAATGGGAGAGTTCATAGATGTGTTAGTTGAGAACATCTGAACAGACAGCAGCACAAGCAGGGTGTTGATGGCCTCCACATGAAGAGCATAAGTGAAATCCCTGATGAAAGAAACACACCTTTGCTCTTTTCATTTCAACACAAAATCATGCAGAAATGATTATTTTGTTACCACAAATGTGTATGAACACACAGAGATAGCTTATTCCCCATATAAGACTGTGTTCCAAAACAGTTCAAGCATCCTACTCATTCTAATCTGATGCACACTCTTTTTATAATGAAGTCCGAAAATTGCCATAGGAAAAATTGCACATTAAAATCGAGTATCTAACTATAACCACATTCGCAGAGTCAGCAATGTCCTACCGTCAGAGAGGTCAGATTCAAATTCAAGTTAACATTTTTTTTATCCTTGCAAAGACACCAGAATTGGTTTTTGGCTATGGCCTGCAGCTTGACAGAAGTCTGAAAACCACAGAATCAGATGAAGTGCCATCACCATCACAAAATGGCGATAGAGCATATTTTGTTGCGAGTCTGTGTTGGTTCATTCTGTGAATCAGATGAAGTGTCATCACCATCATAAAATGGCGATAGAGCATATTTTATTGCGAGTCCGTGTTGGCTTCATTCTGTGGATGACTACAACTGTTATGCATCGTACAAAGTTTCCAATGAATTAAAAACAGTGATGGGCCACTCATCATAAAAGCTCTTGTTAAAGAAAAGTTATTTAGTTTGCCAAATGTAGCTGCATCACATCTTTTTTGCATGCCTGATGCTTGTGCCTAAAAATGAGAAGGATATTTCAGCTGCATATCAACCACAAAAAGTTTCTGCATATTGAAAATGGAAAATAATTTAGACATTAAATACAAGCTTGCAGACTTTCTTATGCAGCTCTGTGTAAACCAAGCTAGGTAGTAAAGGCAATGACCCCTGAACTGTCAAGCGATCCTGGTACTAAAGGGATCAGTCTGGATCAGTCAAGAGAACAGTCGAGAGAATAACTTTTCCATTTCATAAAGGCAAACTGCAGCGATTCAGGAAACTCAATGCTGTACCTTAAGATAACTTAATAAGGTAAAGGTCACTCAACTTACAACAGCGGAACGTCAACAACGATTTCAACTAGAGCATTCACCAAGGAATCCAAGAGATCTTCCTTTTTCGTATCTGAAAAGTGTAAATGATTAGGTATCTAAAAATAAACAAGTAAGCCAAGCTACAAGAGACACATCGGCACAATCCAAGGATCTGTTGCACTGTTGCAATCTGTAGCACTTTTGCACAGTCGGTACACTAATATACAATAAAGTATCAATAGCATATGAAAGTTGATATATACAAATGCATACATGTACATACATAAACTGAAATTCACTACTCACTATAATGTTGAGACTCCTCTTGAGTTCTGCCTCATGAATGTCAACTTCAGAGACATTGTTGATTAACCAAATTGTTTACAAATGAAGAAATAATAATAACCCCTTTTAGAGCAAACAGAATTCATTTGTGAAGAGCTATGCTCAATTTGAATTGCTTAAATAAAAACGCACAAAACCTATAAGACAACCTTAAGAATTCGGCGCAAACTTCGAGATCAGAAAATGTGTTTGTTCTCTAAAGTAACACTAATTTATCTTGGCATGTAAAGCTGCATGTGAGCCAAACAACAGATATGCATGAGTTGGCAGTTAATACTTCCAAGTCTTAGTTCACCATGCCTCTATCTTTATATTTGCTTAGCAATGTGGTCTTTCACCATGTAACATTGTGAATGATGTTTTTTTTTTAATGTTCACTCAAGCGCAGTAATGCGATAGCAAGCCTGCTTACCTCCTATGGTTGGTGCCTGAAACTGCTTTACGACATTGTCTTCAGTGACGGTGACTATGAAGTACTTCAGGATGAACCGTATTATGAACAAGGCATTGTACGTCTGCCATGTGAAAATGTTACTGAAAAAAAAAAAAAGACGCAGATGAAGTGCACACTACCTTCTGCAACTACTATATCTTCGACACTGTGATTTTCGAGCACTAGGATCGAGCTGGTCCATCGGCAATGAGCCATTTCAAATTAATGTCCAAGAAACATCAAGATGAGTCAGCAAGCGGCCAATATAACTTTATTAATAATCAACTATTGCTGTGACAATCCAGCAATGAGAATTTCGCAATAGGAACTGCCTAAAGCAAATGTAACGGACACATATACTAATATTACAGTTCACCAGCCACTTTAAACATAACGCAAGACAAAACACTACTTCCTATTACAGTTACAGAACCAACAAGGCATCGGTGCAATAACCTTTACACCCATTTGCACTTCATAATTTCCACGCGAGCAACACAATTCTGCTGAATCATCGGTGAATGCAAAGCTATTGCTCAAAAATTATCTACTTAAATCAGCCATTCACCAGTTTGCTACAATAAATCAATTGGCGAGAGACACAAGCTATACAGCAAAGCTGCTGCAGTTTGCACAATATGCCAGAACAAAAGCAAACAGTGGGCTGAACACTGCTCTGCATTTCTTCAGCGATGCAATTACACATTCAAGGAAAACGTGGCCCACTGCAAAAACCGGAAATTCATATTTGCGTTACATTATTTTTATGACAGAGTTTATGACACTATTATAGTTTATGACACTGTTAACTTTTACATCATATTTACCACAAGAGACGTACAAAACTAGCTACATTTAGTTGCATGTGTTTCCTCAACATGCTCTAACAATATATCTGAATATCATAGTAAGCTAATCCAAGTGAATGCTTTCGAGTTAGCAATTAAACAAATACAGCTTTGATGACTAAAAGAATGCAGAAGATTCAATTTCAACTTCTAAACTCATCTGAACTCACAGGCAGTGCATTTTGCTTGCCTGAGTCTAAATTACAGCTGTCAATGTAGCAGTGCAACAAGAAGTGCTATCTTCTATCACATATTACCACATACTAATAGGTTCTATGAGGTCAACAGCAAACTTTATTTGTTTTCATTAATGTCACCAATTGGGCTGTGGCACCTACATTTAATTTATGTGCAAGAGTGTATTTTAGTGCAATGAGCAACCATTTTCTGCTATGCTGTATCATATAATGTGCATATTGTATTGCTATGTTCATAGTGTACATAGTATACAGTATAATGGTGTCAGTTATAGAGTTCATGGACAATAGCGGTGCTGTGGTGCAACATTATAAGGTAGATGGCAGTGTGTGATGCACTTATGATGGCAGTATGCATGAGCTGCTGATAGCAGGAGGCATCTGACAGCAGCACCATTGGCAAACGGAACATGATGGACCAAGTCATTACAATAGTTACTGTGTGGCCTAGCACTGCTAAATGTCTTACTCATACCACGGCCGCTGGATCAAAGTGCACAGTGTGCGCTTTGATCCAGCGGCCGTGCTCATACAAGTGATTGGCACAGTTGGCTGGTCGCTGAAGCCACGTTCTGGTATCTATTGTAAGTAATACAAAGACATTGCAAACTTAACTATCCTATAAGTGCCATCAAAGGCTCCACTATGGAGCTGCACTAAAATCTGCCACAGAAGTACTACAGATATAAGCTGAAATAAATTGATCAGTTTAATGAGGTCCTGCTCAATTTTTTTAATATGGTCAGAAAATGTTGGCGATTAGTGTGCGAGGCCCCTGAAAACACCGAAGAGACTTACAGCCCAGCACAAAGCCTAGAATTTACAAAAAAATTTCAACGACAGTTAGAAATCGACCCCTCTTCCCTTGACACATGATGCCATATACCCAAAACCAACACCACATACATAAACACTCAGTATGGCGACCGGCTGCTTTGAATATTTGGTGCTGCGTAGCTAAAGTTACCAGCACGGTGTGCCGCAATGTGTCCACACTGCCGTCTACAGTGAGCCCGCTAACGGTCACACTCAAAGGGAGTTGTGCGTTCAAAAACGCAAGTGAAGAAAGTGCTCAGGGTTTTGATATGCATTTGTGTACGGACGTAGCTTCTTTCCCCCTTGTCATCATCCCCTGTGAAGCTTTCAGCATGCACGCTGTGGCGAAAGATGGAGAAATCGTTCAGGTGTGCAACAAATCCTTGTAAATGTGCTTATACTTGATAGATGCTCAAAATTTTTGTAGCAGTCAATTTGTGAAGCGAACTCTAATCGTGAGGCCATCTGATGATTATTTGAAAAAATGTTGCAGGGCCATTTTAGGGTGTACATTTTTCAGCATAGTGTGGTTCTCTACTCTCTATAAATAAACTGTCCGTTACTTCAACATTCAGTCACTACTTCTTGTCATCAAGGGTTTGGCAAGTCAAAGTAAGGCAGCATATATTACTGAAAAAAAAAAAAAAGCATCATGCATCGAAGGGTGATATGCCCAGACAAAAACCCAACTTAAGTTTACGCTGTGTTGTCTGTATGTTTTGAAGATGATAGCACCAGACTCAAAAAATATTTCGGTGCCCCGTACACAGGCTTCAAGCACTTCACGAGGCAGTGACGCACTGTTATGGCGTAAAACATTGCAATGAAAACATGCATCAAGAAAAACTTACTTGTCACATTGTGCTGACGCTTTCAGCTCAAGTGCCCGGGTCAGGAACACGCTGACCAGAGAACTAAAATTGCCCGAAACTGCATTGTTCTGCAACAGCGTTTTAAGCAGTGGCTCTAAGGAATTGTCTAGGTAGCTGTACTCCTCCCTGCAATAAGGTGGATGAAAAAATGTCTACAAGTCATGTTTGCTTATTTCAATGTGGTGACCATCAGTACAGTTGACTGCCTCTCCACAATGATCTGCATAAACGATGGATTCCTTACGCACTATTTATATAACAACAGCTACAGTGCGTCACCATTACAATGAAGTTAGCTGTACAACAAAGTTTCGAATGTTCTAGGCACATTGCTATGAAGCCTTTTGACTGCATTAACAGGAAGCATCATCCCAGTTCACTAAACTTACACCCTGCTTGCGCTATGAATACACACGTATGCTTTTACGGATGAAGTTAACGAAGAGGTGGTAGAAGTAACACATCTGGTTAACCAATGCCGAACATGGCCGGCTGGCGGCGATTCTGGTAAAGGCGCATCAGACGTCCATCATTTTCCGATGTCTGTCAAGGATGGTGAACAGTGTGAGAACTCCTTATAGACTTCAATCAAAGCATATACCCAGCTCCAATGGAATCTCGTACGCAACTTATGAGCGAACGAAAGCAAGCGAAACCACATCATAACACCAATACACGACCTTACGAAAGTGTTAACCAGCTTACCCGGTCCTTGGCGGTCGAATGGTGAACGAAAGAAGCTGGTTCCAAAAAGGGTCATTTGGCGTGATTGGCTCTTTGCTAACGAAGCGCTGTAGGTGTTCGTTCTTTTTCAAATCGTGGAAGAGATGTAGTGTTTCTAAATAAATATGCAATAGGTCTGACACTTATAGTCGTTCCTCCATGATTAGATGTCACTACAGGACGCGGTCAACGTGATGGGAAAAGAGACGGGGGGTCAAGAGCACAGTAGGCGTCCGATAAACGCGAAGTGCGCGTCAAAGGTGTGGTGATTAAAGCGGTCAGGGAGACTTTTTCGTTCAGCCGACAGCACAGGGCACAAGTACGAACCTCAAAGGAGATGAATCTGCTTCGTCGCTCCCATTTGGACGGCCACAAGGCTGCCAAAACACAGAAAAATCAACGCCGGCGGTACATCTGAAGCAACCGCAAGAAACCTACGCGTGGATCCGTGCTCGGTTACGTTACGTAACACATCCGCTTCCGCCCAGCGATCGCAGCGTCCTCGCTAGGAAAAAACGAGCAAGACCGCTTTGCCACGACGTTTACGAGACTTCCCGGGAGTCTAGTGATAAGGATTTGAGCGATTTTGCCAGTGTGCCGCAGCTCATCGGCCGGTATTTGCATTTCGTATCTCGCTTAGAGCCAAGCTGTCCAGCATTTGTTGCCATGTCGCGTGTACTTGCTTCGATGCTTCCGCGTGTCATCTCGCGTTCTGTTGCCAGTGCATCTCGCAGCACCGGCGTCCTGACCCAACGCTTCCTACACGTTGCGCCCAGGCTTCTTGCTCCTGAGGTCCTAAAACCGGCCCCGCCATTCAAGGGTACGGCTGTTGTCGGCAACGAATTCAAGGAGATCTCCCTTGCCGATTTCAATGGGAAGTACCTCGTCCTGTTCTTCTATCCGCTAGACTTCACTTTCGTGTGCCCGACTGAAATCATTGCATTCAGCGACCGCGCCGACGAGTTCAAGAAGCTGAACACCGAGGTTGTTGCTGTGTCGGTCGACTCGCACTTCTCTCATCTAGCGTGGGCCAACACTCCGCGGAAGAGTGGCTGGCTTGGGGGGCGTCAACATCCCCATGCTCTCTGACCTGAACAAGACCATCTCTCGTGACTACGGTGTGTTGGTCGAGAACGCAGGTGTGGCGCTTCGTGGACTTTTTATCATCGACCCCAAGGGCGTCGTGCGACAGATAACCATCAATGACCTTCCCGTGGGTCGTTCGGTGGACGAGACGCTGAGGCTGGTTAAGGCATTCCAGTTTGTCGAGAAGCACGGCGAAGTCTGCCCGGCAGGATGGCAACCCGACTCGCCCACCATCAAGCCAGACCCCAAGTCGTCGCAGGAGTACTTCAACAAAGTTAATTAGGAACCCACGTGAAAATTTCGCCTTAACAAAATTACCGATGTTTGCACGAACTGTAGCAAGTATATTTTCTGTAATCAAACGGTGATACGGCAATATGTGTTCATTCAGCATTCATCATGTCCTGTGTGCTTTGTTTTAAGGGAGAACAGCAGTATACAAATTAAATTGTTTCATCAAGTCCTCTGTGCACTTCCTTGAACCTTTATTGCTGAGAGAAAAGTCAATTCGGCAGGTAAATTAGGACAGGGAACCATAGGTCAGCAAAACTGGTGGAGCTCACTCAGAGTCACCCATATATTTTGAGCTTTCGACTCGCTGAGACTCGGGAAAATTTTCTTGAGCTGGACTCGCCTCGAATTCGCACGACAATTCTCTTTAACCGGACTCGCTCGGATTCAGACCCGTGAAAATATTACTCACCTGGACTAACTCGGACTCCAGTTGTGGCTTGATTCGAGTCTGAAGGAGTCTGAGTGAGTTCACCGACATATGCACGGAACATTCAATTTTATACCTATATGTTAGCCTACAGAGAGTTCGTATCCCGGCTGCGGCGGCTGCATTTTCGATGGAGGCGGAAATGTTGTAGGCCCGTGTGCTCAGATTTGGGTGCACGTTAAAGAACCCCAGGTGGTCTAAATTTCCGGAGCCCTCCACTACGGCGTCTCTCATAATCATATGGTGGTTTTGGGACGTTAAACCCTACATATCAATCAATAGCCTACAGAGAGGTAGTAGCATTCTGCCAGGTGTGTTCGTTTGGTTTCTTGGTAATCGCTGCATTCTAGCTATTGTGACACATATTGCTCTTAGGTTCACAGCTTAAACTTGTTACCAGCACTTTATTGCAAAACATGATGTGGACGCTTTTCTGGAAGTATTCCTTTGCATTCATTCCATTAAACCAGTCTAACAGGGAACGAAACGCATGCAGCTGTCCCTTTTTCTCCGGTTAGCTTGAGCTTGGCTGTTGTGTTCAACTGAAACAAAAAGCAGAGGAGTTTGGTAGACTGGTTGTATTATTACTGGTCATGATATTCAGTAACAATGGAGTACACTGTCACGCATAAGTTCAGTCTTGTGGGTGTATCAAATAGAAGAACAAATAACAAACACCTCTTTATCATCACATTTAATGGTCACTATGATTACATATCATAGTGACCATAAAAGACTATGTCTACTTAGGGCAGGTAATAACCGCGTAGCCAAACCACGAGATTGAAGTAACTAGAAGAATAAGAATGGGATGGAGCACATTTGGCAAGCACTCTCAAATTATGACAGGTAGATTGCCACTATCCCTCTAGAGGAAGGTATATAACAGCTGTATCTTGCCAGTACTTGGCTATGGAGCAGAAACTTGGAGACTTACAAAGATGGTTCAGCTTCAATTGAGGACGACACAGCGAGCAATGGAAAGAAAAATGGTAGGTGTAACCTTAAGAGACAAGAAGAGAGCAGAGTGGATTAGGGAACTAACAGGTGTTAAGGATATCATAGTTGTAATCATGAAGAGGAAATGGACATGGGCCGGGCATAGCGCGTAGACACGATAACCACTGGTCATTAAGGGTTACTAACTGGATTCCCAGAGAAGGCAAGTGGGTTAGGAGGAGACAGAAGGTTAGGTGGGCAGATGAGATTAAGAAGTTTGCAGGTATAAATTGGCATCAGCAAGCACAGGACCGAGTTAACTGGCGGAACATGGGAGAGGCCTTAGTCCTGCAGTGGACGTAGTCAGGCTGATGGTGATGATGTTGATGATTACATATCAAAGGTTTTCATGCAGAACTGGTAACTCTACTTTTGCTCCTTGATCCTTGGGTTACTAGACAAACAGTTGCTCCTTTCCAAACTAGCTCAGCTTCTCTGCAAAGAAAATGATTGCCAACTTCTCAACTGTAAGATTACGTACTTCTGGTTTTCGAGTGCTGCTGCCGCAAAAGACAGTTATAGCATGTAGATGTAATCTTATTTTCAACGTGTTGCCTGTTTCAATTGAACTGATTGCTGGAGAATCAACGATGCATTGAATTGAAGGTATGACATTCAGTCAAAAATATTGTTTTGTTTAGGAAGTTCTCTTTTCCAAACATTTCTGCAGCTCAATAAAAAAATATTTCTCAACAAAAATTGTTCCTGCACTGTGCCTTTAACAATGCACTCGCCAATATTCTATATGTCCACCTGTCTGTAAGGGCAGAATTTGTAGGTACTGGCTTCATGTTTTAATAAAAAAGATGCTATAGCTATATGTAATTAAGTGCGGCAGTTGCACAATTGAACCATATAACCAGTTATCTCAAGTACACTCTGCATAGACAGAACATAAAGCAACAGAAAAAAAATATTTATCTGAAGTTTAGTTTAAGTGAAAGACAAAAAATTGTTGCTAAGGACTTTTTTCATTAGGATTTGATGAAATTATAAAAACTATAAGACAACAGCACAATATATTGTACTCACCCTTGGGTAAATAGGCTTCACTTCAAGATCATACTTGAATGTATAATCGGCGCCCTGCTGTATGGGGCACTGAATACCTCTTCTGCGGCAGCCATCTGTATCCGTAGTTGGTAGACGGAGCTCAAGATCGTCCTCAAGAACAGCGCTGATGCCCACCCTTAATGTACGAGAATGTTGATCTGCAAAAAACCACATTTTTTGGCATTCTGAGGTGAAGCATACTATGCTGCATGCATTTTAAAAATCATAAGGAGTGTAACGAATTATCTTTCTCACAGAAGGTAAGAGGTGTACAGCTCACACTTCTAAAAAATGGGCAACAATAATTATGTCAAGCCTTGATGACTTCATGTAACAAGATTTTTAGAAATTTCCCATTTATGGAAGTTTCTTTGATTCTGCAAAATATATACTACCAGCCAAATGTGCTAAAAACCTTGAAATAATGGAATTACGCTTTTGCATAAATGCGTCACAGGAAAACTGGACTATTCAAATGCTTGGAAATTTAACGTTTTGTTAGCCGCATTCATGGGTGTTCTCAAAATTTGTCTTGAGGGGTGCAAGCCCGTGTTGCATCACAACTGGGGTAGGAAGAAATCACTGGTGAGGTTTGGGAGGAGGCAAGCGTGGGCGGGGCTTGAGGTGGGGCAAGTGCCCCTTTTGCACCTCCCTGCTGATGCCCATGGCTGGATTACCAGGATTGCTTGAAGAGGAGTCTATCATAGCTGCATGAAAATATACACTGTAGAGTCTTATAAAAACGCGAACTCATATCTGGTTGACGTGCTGGTTGATGTGCTAAGATTTGGTTCCACCAGAGAAGAAACACATTTTATTTTAATATGAGAGTTCGTGGTTAATCTTGGGTCAAGCCCTCTTGTAGAGCCCCACTGGCCGCGGCGGCTTGCCGGGCTTGGTCTAGGGCCACCATTTGGCTTCCCAGGGCCAACTCGGAAAGCCATGCCTCCCTGCATTACATTGCGAGTGTTTGTCGTGAATGCACCAACTCGGTACTGATTGGGCTGGCCACTACATACATTCACAAGTCATGTGTAGGTGTGGTTCTGTGGTCACTTCACCAGGGGATATCTCTGTTGTGCATACCTGTAGAAAACTCATCTGTAGTCTTAATACGTGTGTATGTGCTCGTATGGGGTGGTGCCACTCCCTGGCTTTCTAGCTGCTTAACTTCGGATGCAGAGGGACATACTTCAATCTAGTAAGATGTTGGTTTTCCAGTAGCTGCTCGCTTAATATGTTTTGTTCTTTATGGTGGCTTGCGAGGTGCCCTGAGGAAGGTTCTTCAACTCGGCCAGTGAGTCCACAAGCTACTCAGTTTGCCTCCGTATTCCCCCTCAGGACCACATGTCATCGACTCCATGCGACGCCATGTACCTCTGTTGATGTGTGCCCCAATATATCAGTGACAAATCTGAGAAGTGTGCCTCATATAAGTGATATATAGGTGACAGGCACCTTCTGAGTCTGCCAAAATATAAGCTGGGTTCTTTCAGATCACTGGTCGCCAAAGCTATGGCCGCTGCCTTTGCGATGGCACTTAATCTGGTGCATAGAGACGCGCAAGCCAGGACTTTGTTTTCGTTAGTCACTGTCGTTATATATGCCTGTTTTCTGGAGCGTTGCGATAGTGCGGGATAAAGACTGGCATTGATAAAGTACTAGGTGTGAGGATCACTAGTTCTCTGAAGGAGTTTCTGTGTTCTTGCTTGACGTTGCTTTTTGTTGTAGAGCGGGTGCATATTCTTTGGTAGTAATTCCAGTGCATGGACTGGATGGGCTCGTTATATACAATGGCAAATTTATACAGGCAAAAACTATACATTTTTTTCTTCCATTGATTTCATATGTCTATCACAAATTCTTTATATGTTTACGGTTTAGCTAATATTTTGATTTAATTTTTACCAGGCTTTACAGTTGGGATTAAACTAGATGTGCTGGCACAGAGTGGAGGCAATTAAATATTAAGGAATAGATGTAGACATTTTCGAGGACATTGTACATAGTCCGCCGCGATGGCGTCGGGGTTACACTCTCGGCTGCTGACCCGAAAGTTGCGGGTTCGATCACCGCCGCTGCGGTCACATTTTGATGGAGGCGAAGTGCGAGTGGCCTGTGCACTGAGCTACGGCCGTGATTGAGCGATATAAGTGCACGTTGACGAACACCAGAGGGCCAAATTTTCGGAGCCCTCCACTATGGCGTACCTCATCATATCGTGGTTGGCTCGTAAAACTTCAGATAATCATCGTACTGTACCAACGCCTCCTCTAGAAAGATGCCTGAGCTCCCAGCAGAGTTGGCCTGCCTTCAGTTTTAAACGAGCTCCGCACGGTGACGCTCGCGACCGACACTATCATCACGGCGGCTGGAAAAGCGTTCTAGCCTCTGTACGGCGGCGGCCGGTACCAGCTAAGCGTTTTTCATCTGCGGCCCATAGGGGCGCGTCAGTCGAGAGTTGTTCGAGACCTGCAACTGTGCATTACTGTTTCAGAGGCTATGCAAAGTGTTGCGTTTTTGCACCGTCCGCCACAAGTGACGCTAGCAACCGAGAACATGACGATAGATGAAGAAGGAGAAAACAGTCTGGGCAGCGACCACAGGCGTATAATCCTGAAATTTGACAGTGGGGGGGCTAGGAAGAAAACACAGGAGGTTGGGCTCCCGAAAGTAAGCGAAAAGCAGATAGCAGACATCGTCAATAGCATCGAAAGAGAATTAGAAGCACAGCCAACAAAGGTGTGGGAATATGACGAGGTTGTTAGTTGTATACAAAAGGAAATAAACAAAGTAAGGAAAAAAAACCGCTGGAGGGGTAAACGGAAACCACGAAGCTGGTGGGACAAGGAAATTAAACTGGCTATTGAAGAGCGACGACGGGCCTCTAGACTGCACAGAAAAGCAAAGCAAATGGGATATCAGGATGATGAGGTGCAGTTACGGTGGAGCCGGTACCGAGAAAAGAAATTTGAGGTGCAGAAACTAGTACAAGCGAAGATTAAAGCTGCGAGTGAGAAATGGGTATCAGACATACGTAAGAAGGATAAGAGCGCCCCCCGAAAATTCTGGAACCATTTAAAAGCATTGGGAACGACGACTAAAGAGATGCAGACTCAGATACAGGACGGGGACGGTAACGTTCTCCTGGGGGACAGCGCATTAGAATACCTACATGGAGTCATAGGAAATACTTTCGGCCAAGCACGCGAGAGGTCGGCTAACTGGACACAGGTGGCAAATAAAAGAGTGGCAGATGAAAAATTTAATATCGAATTTTTGGACTGAAAAAAGGCAGAACACAGTGTTCCCAAAAGTACGGCAACAGGACCGGATGGAATCCCGATAGAGATTATCAACCATTTGGGACCAGCGGGACAGGCGCACTTGTATGGAGCTATCGAGCGCGCTATAAAATCCAAGAGGATTCCTGCGCACTGGCGCGAAAGTAGAATGAGTTTGATCTACAAAGGCAAGGGAGAAAGGGACAAGGCGAGCTCTTACAGGCCGATTACAGTCACGTCAGTGCTCTATAGATTAGCTATACAAGCCATCAAAGCCGAGTTGTTGAAGTGGGTTGAAAGTAACGGTATTTTAGGGGAACTGCAAAATGGATTTAGGCCGGGTCGACGCTTGGAAGACAATCTTTTCGTCATAACCCAGACCATCGAAATTTCGGCAGCACAGGGCAGACCAACATGGCTACTGTTTCTGGACATAAAGGGTGCCTATGACAACGTGGACAGGGGATTGCTGTGGCATATACTGGAAGAGGAGGGGATTGGGTCGGAATTTGTAGGGCTGCTAAGGGCAATATATGAGGATAACAAGGCACACATTACATGGGAAGGGCGTACATACACAGAGCCCGTGTACATTCGAAGAGGTTTAAAACAGGGGTGCCCTCTTTCGCCATTGCTGTTCACACTGTACATTAGAGGAATGGAAAGACGACTAGAGGAGAGTGGATTGGGCTTTGATTTGTCACACCGAAGCAATGGAGTGTTAGTGGAGCAACGGATTCCGGGATTGATGTACGCAGACGATATAGTGCTGCTGGCGGATAATGCGGAAGAACTTCAAAAACTGGCTGACATTTGTGGTGATGAGGCAACGTACCTAGGCCTACATTTAACCCACAGAAATCTGGAGTCATGGTGTTCAACGAGGAAGCTCATGTAGCACCAATAAGGATACAACAGGAAGCCATACCATTAGTAAATAAGTACAAATACTTGGGGATCTGGCCTAATGAAGGAAAAGGCTACCTGAATGCTCATGAAGAACACCTCAAACTGAAAGGGAGACGAAATGCAGCAGTAATGAAACATAGAGCACTTTGGGGACACAATAAGTACGAGGTAGTACGAGGCATCTGGAAAGGGGTAATGGTGCCGGCGCTCACGTTCTCTAATGCCGTATTATGCTTAAAGTCAGATATCCTGTCGGGGCTGGAGGTTAACCAAAAGGCAGTCGGCAGGTTAGCTCTGGGAGCTCACAGTAAGACTACAAACGAGGCTGTACAAGGCGATATGGGTTGGGCTTCATTTGAGGCGAGGGAAGCACAAAGTAAAATACGGTTTGAGGAGCGACTTAGACATTTAGATGAGAAGAACTGGGCAGCCAGAGTGCACAGATACCTGTACCTGAAAAATGTGGACACCCAATGGCAGAAGAGGACGCGAAAGCTGGCGACTAAATATAACTTGACCGCGGCAAATAAGCAAAGGGGGCCAGTTAAAAAGCAAGTGAGGGAAACAGAGACGCTCATGTGGAAAGAGAGGATGGAAAAGAAGGGATCGCTGGGAATCTACAAGGCAAGCAAACAAGAGATCCGGAAAGAGAACTTTTATGACAACAATAAAGGTAGTGCGTTGCTCTTTGAGGCGCGGGCTGGCTGCTTGAGAACTCTAACTTACAGGAGCAAATATTCGTCACAGGATGAGACATGTGTTGGATGTGGCATAAATAAAGAAACAATCGACCACATAGTCATGGAATGCCAAAAGATTCAGCCGGATAGAAATGGGGGAAGGTCACACTTCCTGAGGCGCTGGGCTTCGCGGTTGATGGAAGCATTAACTGGTCAGCAGTAGGTATTACTAAGCAGCGGCTGGAGTATTGGTGGAGGAAAAGCAAAGAAGTCGATAAATAACATCCCAGCCAAGAGTAGCGGCTGGGCAAAATTAAAAAGACATCCGAGTTGAGGGACAGAATTTAAACTCGAACTATTAAGGTAGGCTAGATGGCGCATGCCGTCACCCCGATTCAAAGGGGAGGCCTTTAATCATCATCATCATCATCATCATCATCATCATTTTAAAACGAAGGAGAGAAAGGGTGTGGCAGCTGTCTTTCTTCTCATGCGGCAGGCATCTTTCTGGAGGAGGCGTTGACTGTACATATCCAGTTGTTTCCCGTTTCTAAACCACTGTGGCAAATATTTTGAGGCTAACAGTACTGTAAAGCTGGACAATAAAATATGTAGGAACTTGGAAGGAGCTGTGGGGTCTAAAAATGCTCGTTATTCGATTAACATACTCCGCGCTTAATTCTGCGGACTCGGAATCGCAGAACTCGTGCTCACGCTCAGGAGTTAGAACGATGCAGCGTGCAGCAGCAGAACTGTCAAAACTCCGGTCATGTTGCATGCGTAAATGTCACGTGACCCGAATAGCAACGTCGCTTATGACGTATAATACCGCCAAAATTTGAACGGTGAAGATTCAGAATTCATGGTGCCTACTGTAAAGGCTGTCCGATTCAATCAAATGCCGAATTATTGAAAAATATCAGGAAAACAATCAACCAATGTCTATTACATTACCACACTTTCGTTTTCTTTAGTAGCATATCGAGTAATTATTTCCCAGTACTATGCAAAAAGCCACAATTTTCGTCACTTGCGACTTCGTTAGCAATGTGAACGCGGCCAAAACTGCCGTCTGAAATGTCCTCGGAACCGATACCGTATCACGTACCAACAACGCGATTGTGAGATGCATGAAGAAGGGAAATACTGGTGGGAGGTGACCGCGCCTTTCTCAAAGCCCGCGGACCGCAGATGTTGTTTTCAATCCTTACGTCGTACACTTTTGCGAGCGTACTCCGAAGATCGCCCGAATTAACCGGATTGCGGCTAAATACAACTGAATTAACGCGAGTTTAATACCTTTAAAAATGCATGCGCTCTTCGGGATTGCAGAACACATCCAAATTATCCGATTTTGAGAATTAGCGAGCTTTTACTGTATTGCCATTTTGTCAGTGGCATATTATGGTTGGTGTAGTTGACCAGTAACATACGCCGAGCCGGCTCGCGGTCCTCGCTGTTTGGTGGCTTCGCTTTTGCCAGAGGGTCAACCACGACGTGGCACTGTACCATGTGACGCCATACGTACGTTTCTGTTCGGGTCATTTGGCTCTCCCACATGTGATGGCGACCAGGAGTTGCGCAACTGTGTATCTTCTGGTCACGCACCTCCATAAGCGCACAAATTACGCAGTCGCAGACAGCGCTGCTTCTCGATTACCCCCTCCTCTCTCCGCACGCACACGCACACTGACTCACTAACGCGACTCACCGCTTCTTTATCCCTTAGGACAGGGGTCTCAAACACATGGTCCGCGACTTCACATGAATGAAGGTGTAGTGTATTTGCTCAAAAGTACTCCCAATATTTTCCCGCCCATTGCAAGTAATAGCACTGAATTCGGGTGAGCTGCACAGGTGAGACTGACCCCAAGCATTCATTTTTTTTTCGTGAAGCTTCCATGCGGTCATTATCAGTTGAAACATCACCGTGGAATGAAAACAATATTTCAGAATAGGCGTAAAAGCTCTAGTATTTATGGAAATCAATGTAGACACGTTTTTCGAAACTGATGTCGGTATCAATCAGAAAGGACACATATATGGTATATGGGAAAGGCGTTCTTTCAAATGGCAATGTTAGGTAACATTTTTCTCAAACTTTCTGCTTGTCTAAACTCTCTTTGCGGGCCTGCGCAAGAAATTAGCACAGATTCAGAATGTGATTGTTTGTTAGGAGTGAAATGGTGGACAAATGTGGATATACTCTGAGAAAGGGAAAAGTGAATGGGATGGGGGAGGGGGAAAGAAACGAAGGATCGAGAGTCTTGCTGTTTTGATGTTTGTGGGAACTATGTTTCTTACCTGAAGTAAATTTCATGCTGATTCTTGCTGTATCCCCTCGCTTTATCGCACATGGTTCTGACGAGCAGGGTTCTATGAGGACAGACTTCACAGTACCACCTTAAATCGAAAAAAAGAAAGAGACAATAAAGCAAATGTCTTTTTAAAAAAGTTAAGCTGGTAGAGAACATCCCACGCGTTGCTGAATCCAACACCGCATCGGGGCCAAGGTGCCAAGAAGTGCAGAAAAGCTCTGAACGTGACAGATATCATAACTATATATAGTGTGTTCAAGTCTCACAGAGACTTCAGACCGTACATAACGGCTCTTGCACCAATTATGGAACAAATTCCCTAGTGGCACGCGTCCATCTAGGCAGCTGTGGGTACCCAAGCGGTGACATCCGTACACGTGTCACCGCTTGACGTGTGTCACCGCTTGAGTAATATGTCTCTGATGGCACCTGCAAACCATCCGATAAGGCGTGTGTGCCGGCTGTGCTTTGTTCCTCCCGCGGGAAGAGTTTTCGTCAACCTCAATACTTGCTTTTCGAGGATACTGAAATTGGTGCCTCCGTGTGTACTGCAGCAGTGAATAGCCATTCTAACCTACATATTTGTGTTCGCACACTTTCTTGCTGAAAACTATAGTTAGCTGTGGCCACACTTTCTTACCAGTCCCATTTCTCACGCGAGAACGTATACGCATGCCCGTGCTGGAAAATATGTATAGTGTCATGGTGAATCACCGCTCAACAGTCAAGACCAGGACGATAAGAAGAAGCGCGAAAGAGGCGCGGTGGCTTAATTACATCTTGTTCATTTTCTTCCGAAACGTATGACCCGGTACCGAAGAGTCTTCTCGGTGCCGTTTATGTATGCGTGTTTCTGCAGGAGAATAAGCCAGTTGTATACGTCATCAAACTTCTTTTAGGGCGAATTGGTTCACTGTATAGAGCGAGGAGTAGCAACGCGAACACAACGCGAAAAGGTGCCAGTTTGCAGCTGCATGGTTTTAACGGCAGAATGCAAGTCGCGGCAGTTGTAAGTCAGCGCCTTGTTCATCCTTCTTATCGTCCTCGTCCCGGTAGTTTTGTTGTGGTTCACCACGCATCACCAGCTCGCCCACGTTTTCACGTTACTAATTCATATAAGTTACACAGCCAACTGCACAGGCTGCACTCACCGCAATTCTTGAACGAGATGTTTCGGACCTGAGCCGTCGCCGCGCTCAGAGTCGCGACGAAGATGAACACAGCGAGAGCGTCGGTGCTCATGCTTACAGCGAGGTAGGAGTGTGAGACCGATGAGACGAGTATTCGCGCAATCTTGAATAAGCAGCGTGTCTGCACCCGGCGCTTAAATAAGGTTGGTAGAGGAGATCCAAGGTGAATGCCGAACTGATGCTATTCCTATCGCAGCGTCCTTCCATCACGGTTGAGTGGTTTTTACGTAAATGTAAACGTATCCTTAGCCGCGACAGCTATGTAGCTATACCCTGCCACAGAAAGAGAAGACAGATTTTAGGTTCGTAGGTGTGCTAATCTTCAAGTTGCTTCATACCTCATGTTTTCCGGTTGTTCATTTTCGAGGCGTCACTAAAGAACTGGATTGCGTGGGACGAAAAATTAAACATAAAAGAAGTTGAACAAACAAACTGATCTATGTGTAGAATTAAGTATGCACTTGATATGTACTTATGACATTTAGTTGGTGAGCCATAATGTTGATGAAGCAATGCGCAAAAGACTTAATTATCAATTGTAATTCAGCGCTCGTTGTTTGTGTCTTCGTTACGTGTGTGTAAGTGTTTATTGTGTGCGCTTTTTTATCAACGTAAAGCATTAACATTTGGCAGATCTGATCACACCTGGTTGAAAAGGCCGGGTTAAAAAGGAAGTTTTTCTAACAATGCTTTAACACGAGCTAGAACCCAACGTTTCGGAATCGCTCCGTTTGGTCCATTCATTGGGCGATGTTGAATAGGGAAAATGGTTTGGTACTGGAGCATTTGAGCAACTGTTGAAATCATGGCCTCCATTGGGAGACATTGAACGTAAAGAAAATTCCTTGGATGTATATTTTACTCCAGTCATCGGCCTATTAGAAGTTTCACGAAGGGATAATCACGCGCAGCCATCTGTATACTCTTAAGGTGCTCCTACAGCGCGAAGCAGGAAATACGCGCTATAGAGCGCTATAGGAAATACGGCGCTATAGAGCTGTACTATATGTTCGCTTGACACTGAAGTCCATCGTGACAACCTGGATAAACGAACAGTGCTGCGATGTTCATTCCAGCGCGTGGCAGCAGCGAGTACAAGCCGAAATCATGCCACGTCAAGCAATGCCTTGAAACCACAAAGAAAACAAGCATTATTGTTAGCCCTAACTATCTAATGCTTACTATGTCCCCTGATGGCACAGTGTGCGAGCTTCGTAACAAACGGTATCTGATTTACAAGACACACCAAACAATGGAGGTGATGACAATAATGAATATGCGATACAAGACGACAGAGACAGACTGGTCACGTATCATGACATATTGGCAAATTATAAGCAACAACGAAAAGAATATCCGCCACCACACAAACAGCTAGACAGATCTCAAGAAACAGATTGGCGAAGATTGCAAACCAGGACCTTTTCAAATCCAGTACACCTGAACAGAGTAAATTCCAGACAATACCCACAAAAGAAGCTGTACCCTTTGTAAGCACGAACACGCAGATATGGCACATATTCTATGGCAATGCACACAGGTCACAGTAATATACCGAGAGAAAAATATAAAGCCGGACCTTCTCGAGGAGCGTTGGCTAAGTGCGCTGACTAGCTCAGATCTGCACGACCAACAGTGGGCCCGGACAGCGGTGGAAAGGCTACGCCTCACCGCACAAAACGTCCGGGTGGCCTGAGCCCAGGCCGGTAACCCTGCAGGGTTTCTTTCTTTATTTCTTTAATAAAGTTTTTTCCGTCCGTCCGTCCACCACATGTTACGATCTGCATTCACCGTCCCACTGAGCTTGTTGTGGCGGAGGTTCACTGCACGTATACACACCCGGAATCACCTAAGCACGGCTGGTTGACTTTTGCATGTCGTTCTGGAAAGTATACGCAACAAGCCTCGAGAAGACAACTCCGAATAATAATGTATCGCGCACATCTTGCAACATTGTGACAGCTCGAAAGTCCTTCGCGAGGATGCGGCGTAAATGCGAAGAAAGCGGAAGCGTGCACGCGTGTGCATCGAAGGGCTTTCCGCGTTCAAGATCGTTTACAGCCGTATTCACGGCGCGAGGCACTTCAATGAAGGTAATATGTGCAGGTCTGACGTACGCAAGACAATCTCTAAGGTTTCCGCGACAAACTTTATTATTCCGGTGTAGCCGGGCGTGCGCGAAGGCGTGATGCGTGTACCGGATGCGTGCGCACCTGAAGGATTGCCCAACTCCGAAATGCTACAGTGTGCATGCGAACACGAGGCGTTCTGGGATAAATGCGAGACGTCAAAAGGGAAGGCTATTTGCTTGCGACATGCAGTCAGCAAGCCTATTACTCTCGAACGCTCCGCAGCGTGACCTGCGCTGGTTTGACTGACGCCGCAGCCGCGCAGCGCTGGCCGCTGTTGCCAAGATGACATCCCGGTGTGCTTTGATAGTATATGCCGAGCTACGTGGCTCTGGAATGGTCCTGGTGTCAATCAAACCGTTTCAGGACACGCTGCGGAGTTATGCTCGCTGATGACGGCTGTATATACGCCGTCTCAGGTACAGAAACAACGACATCAGAAAGATTCAGTGAGGATCCAGTATACTATTAATCCAAATTAAAATGGGGCACGAATGAATGCGCGTTTTTTTTTAAATGTGGGATGGTACGTGTCTGCGTTTGAGATTATTCTTGATTATGATGATTATAATGATTGCCCGACTACTTACGGTAAATGGTAATACCAACTTATTGGAGTCAAATTGAGCATTATGAGAGCCCATTAACAGTTGGGATGGGATGGACTTTACTGAGTAACTTGTGGTCTGACATAACGCCAGAACTCACGTTAAAGCAGATACGTCAGTATTGTGGAGCCCCGCCGCGGTGGTCTAGTGGCTAAGGTACTCGGCGACTGACCCGCAGGGCGCGGGTTTGAATCCCGGCTGCGGCTGCTGCATTTCCGATAGAGGCGGAAATGTTGTAGGCCCGTGTGCTCAGATTTGGGTGCACGTTAAAGAACCCCAGGTGGTCTAAATTTCCGGAGCCCTCCACTACGGCGTCTCTCATAATCATATGGTGGTTTTGGGACGTTAAAGCCCACATATCAATCAATCAGTATTGTTGAAACGAAGCGCGCTTTGTGGCTTAACAATGTCAATATATATATAACACGCATCTCTCGATATTGTATTGCCCCGGGATCGAGCAAGGCTTGAATATAACCTGCGGAATCATAGGAATAGAAACAAAATGATGTCATAAAGGTGGAGCCAACAAGAACCACAATGATCGTTAATCCGGTATGGTGTCTGTGTGTAGGTCTACTTATGTAATTCTCATTGCTTCGTTGTAAAATTTGATAGCCTGGACTGCAACCACCACTGAAGTTGCACCAACCTTACTTTTCCAAAGGAGCTTCAAGACTTGTCGTGGCTCTGTGGTAGAATACCTGATTGCCTCGAAGAATGGTTGGGTTATATTTCTGCTTAGATCCTTATTTTTCATCTTTGCATTCACCGGGTTAACGCTGCCGCTGTCAGTTTCCCTGAACGCTCTCACAATTTTGACAGCGTTAAGAGAGGACAGACCGATCCGGCGTATATCTCAACTGTCAATTAGCTGTGGCACATGCCCGCACACAATGCCCGTGGCATACGGATATGTGCCACGCGTGTCTGTAGTTCGGAGTTCGTTGACGTGCGGGGCAAGATGTTGACGTTTTTCATGCCGTGACAAGAGTCATATTCCTAAAACCCTCCTCTCCTTCTATGCCAACTTCGGCCTACATCATTTTAAGGAGGCGATCACGAGAGCACCCAGACGGCTAGATAGATAGATAGATAGATAGATAGATAGATAGATAGATAGATAGATAGATAGATAGATAGATAGATAGATAGATAGATAGATAGAACGGTCAAAGCGTCTACGGCTCGCCAAGAAAAGTTATTTATTTGATTTGCATACACGGATACACAAGGACACAGAGGAAAGAGGGAGAGAGCAAGCTGGCAACTGCCACCTGGAGGGGCACAACGCCTGCTCACTCTTTCGGGAGAGGGAAGAAACAAATGAAATGAAGATAGGAGGGGAGAAAGAGGAAAGAAGAGAGGGAAGTAAAGAAAAAAAAACGACTAAGACTTAGACAAGTATAAGTGAAAAAAAAACAAAAAACTTGTCTATATACGGGTGGCCAGGTTCGTTTGGTCTATAAAAGTAAGTAGAGCTCGGTGGGCTTGGTCGCGTCGGGAAGCACAACCTCTCGGTAAGAGATAATCATCTGGGAATTTATACTCCTTAATCAGCAAAGACCTCTGCGTAGCAAATGCGGGACAGTGCACTTTGAGATGCTCAAGTGTTTTGCAGGAGCCACAAGCAGCGCACAATGGACTGTCCAGATGAGCTTGACGGTGTAATCGTTCACGCACCAGTACAGAGCCCACTCTTAGTGAATATAACAGCGCTCTGGAACGACGAGGCAAGCCACGGCCGCGAACACGGTAAAGGAGCGATGCGTTCGCCACACGCTGGTCTGGGTGCTGCGAGAAGTGCTTCGCATTTAAAATCACGCTTCAAACCGGAGTCAAACTCTGGCACTGTGCGCATTGTTCGTAGCTCTCAAGCATTTAATACCGCAAAACCACGCCGGCGCTCGATAGCTCCTACACGTTTTAGGTAGGGGAATCGTAAGCCATGCTTGCATTGGTGTCTACTCCCTTTCATACCAATCTAGTAAAAAAAGGTATAGTTGCCAATGTATAGTCAACCGTAGCTTGGAGGAAAATTGGAGTTGATATGTTAATTAGATCGTTATGAAAGCAGATCGACAGCATGACAACCATGATTTACGTTGATCTAGTAGGAGAAATACGGTGAAAACAGCCGCTTACGATATATGTGCATCATTGCACCGTAGCGTGCAGTTCGTTTCAATAAAATGATTGATTGATTTGTGGGGTTTAACGTCCCAAAAGCACAATATGATTATGAGGGACGCCGTAGTGGGGGGCTCCGGCAATTTTGACCACCTGGGTTCTTTAACGTGCACCCAAATCTTAGCACACGGGCCTAAAACATTTCCGCTTCTATCGGAAATGCAGCCGCCGCAGCCGGGGTTCGATCCCGCGACCTGCGGGTCAGCAGCCGAGTACCTTATCCACTAAATAACCACGACGGGGCTCGTTTCAATAAAATCAACATATGTGCTGTGAAAGTGAGCGCCGACGTGCCGACGTAACGCCTGACCGTATAAGATGCCCTTTGGGCACCAGTATATAGTCGACGGTGCCTTGGAGACCATCTATAACTACTCCAAGTGCACAAATACGTCTGCGTGACTCGCCGTGCGCGGCTCAAAGAAACAGAAACTCGTTTGTGCGCTTTTTGCTTACTTATCTTTACACCCGCATGTCCGATTTTCACCTCACTTGTGGCGTCACAAATAACGCGCTATGTGCCCCCCCCCCCCCCAAAAAAAAAATGTGCATATAGCTTTTCGCAACCTTTGATCAAGGACGAAGGCTTGCCATTCCTGTTTCGCTTTTGCTTGCTTTGCGTTTCGTCTGTGCGCAAGACAAATGCAACAGTGCATAATGAATAAAATCAGCAGGTTTCTGGCGGCTTCCTCGATGGTACAGAAAATTATGAAATCACGCTTTAGACTTCAAAATAAGTGGATGAACAAGAGAAAACAGGCAGCTGGTCAGATGTATACTCGTTTGAGGCAGGTCGCTGACAAAGCGCAAGGCAAATTATACGAATATCTTTGTAATTAAATTTCCCTGTTTTTGCGTGTCCTGCATGCATGCTCGGTTTCGAAAACTGAGGCGTGCCAAACGCAGACTGCACAGACCTCGTTCAATTATTTAATGCAGTCTTTATTCATTTTTTTCTTTTCGTATACAATATGTACTTTCACCTGTGGGTATGTGAAGCTGCCGCTGTTCTAACAAACAAAACTACAAAGAAATAGCTGCAAAGTAAATAGATTTACCTGAGGGTTCAAAGTGGAAAAAAGATGTGCACCTGAAAAGGACGGCGAAATGTAGGCGTAACGTCGTTGTTGGTATGAATGAAAATAGGATCATTTTAGGGATATCCTTCAGAAGGACCAAATTATTATTACATTTGAGGTTACTCGCTCGTTCATAATACACAATAACGTACCTTAGTAAGCTATAAGTTATCCGAAAATATCTTGTCAAACTAAAGAGAAAATGAACACGTGGCTTTCTGACGCGGCGCCGCTCCCTCTCACATATGGAGAGAGAGGGCGCGGAGCCACGCGCCACCTATAGTGAGAAGAGAGAGAGAGAGCCACTCGCTGACGCGCTGCAAAGTAGAGTGAAACTTCGGGCTGGTTGGTTTTGCATAATGCAGTACGCACAGCGCGAACTCAAGACGGGGATACAAAAGAAGATACGCAGACAATTAAGCGCTGACTAGCAACGGAATTTTTATTAATACGAAAGGAAACTATACACAAAAAACAACAGAAAAAATAAAAGAAAAAATAAAAGCATGACAAGATTTCTTCCAAGGGATGGCTACATGCGCTCTTCCAAAAAAAAAAAAAGAGATATATTTTTTGTCGATAAACAGATAGAGGCCGTGCTGATGCATAGCCAACCTTCTTTCGCGATATGGGCGGATTCAGTGATTTCGCGAGTACGCATGTCCTGATGTCTGCCGATGGGTGCGGCCTCTTCAAACAGGGGTGTGCAACCACAGGATCGGCAATGGATGGCCAGAAAACCTTCTTTGCCATTGCGCGCATTGTTTTTGTGTTCACGAAGGCAGTCATTTAGACACCTTCCTGTTTGGCCTATACAACTACACCCGCATGAAAGCGGAATCCGATAATTACATTGTGTCTGCATTCTACATATCTTTTGCGATGCTTGATCGTGCACTGGTGTTTCTTTTTCTTTACATTCTTCACATCATTGAAACTGCCCATATCGCAAAAGAAGGTTTGCTATGCATCAGCATGGCCTCTATCTGTTTATTGACAAAAGAATTATCCTTTTTTGGAAGAACGCATGTAGCCATCTCTTTGAAGAAATATTGTCATGCTTTTATTTTTTATTTTATTTTTTTCTGTTGTCTTTTTGTACATATTTTCTTGTCGTGTTAATAAAAATTCAGTTGCTAGTCAGCGCGTGTCTGTGTCTCTTCTTTAGCCTCCCCGTCCTTAGTTCGCGCTTTACGTGTTTCATTGCGCTGCAGAAGGTGCGTGTGGTCAGGCCACGGTCAGGCCTTTACACAAAAGACCACAGCTGCGCAATCGTGCATGGTAACCTAGGCGCATGCAATAAAAAAATGCGCACAATGCAGGGTCACATTACGTTCACACATAACTACTTGAACACGGAAGCCATCTTATTTTTCCTTTCAGTCAGTGTGTTGATCTTGCGCCGCCAGCACTGCTCTCTATAGAATCGGAAACGACGCAGGATTTTTTCACCCCCCTCCCCCCCCTCGTTTGCACTGCCTTTGTGGTCGGTCCACCTTCAACCACGCGACGATGTCATATGAGGAGGTCGTTAAATGGCATAACTTGGTAAGACAACATAGTGACGGCATTATGACGTCATACTACATTGTGCCCTCTCATGACGTCCTCACATGACATCGTCACCTGGTCAAAGGCGGACTGATCACGAAAACAGTGCAAAACGAGGGGAGGTGAAGAAAGCCTGCGTATTTTCCGATGATTCTATAGAGGCAGTGCAGAGGGAATGACTGACATATGACGTACCAGTAACATTATGACGTCATATGGGGAAGTAATGACGTGATGATATATATATATATATATATATATATATAATTAATATTATTTATTATTATTATTATTATTATTATTATTATTATTATTATTATTATTATTATTCATGTTGGCGCCGACACTGGTCGACGCGGGACGCTGGTCAGTTTTCGCTTTCGTTGAAGCTTCTGGGGCTTCCGACTTAAGAAGCGCCATCGTGATCGTCCGTTGTGAGCGTGCTCAACACGTACGTGGCCGTTGGCGGAAACCCCCAAGGCACAACTCGTCTAATGACCTTCAGTTTACATACGCGCGCTTCATTTGGCCAAATGTGTTTACACAAGGCTGACCCGCCTGCAACTATATACGTGTGTAAGGCGGCGTTCGCCGACCGCAGCTGTATCACACAGGATAATTCTCTGCGACCTTGATCGCGGAGCCGCTTGCAGCGGCGCTGCGTCGGCTTCGACTCAGTGCTGTACGATAAAAGAAACACCGCACGTTTTCAGCGCGCTGCGCCCTCGCCGCCCGCTGACGATGCATAGCCTCGTGCCATTAAATCTCGGCGTAGTCGCGACACGACATTACACTCCTCGTCGCGGATCGCCAACCTGCGTCGGCGGTTGTGTATGCCGTAGCAACCGACCGGATTACGCAAAGTTGTTATGGAGTCTGGTTTTCAAAAGCGTTTTCCATGGCAAGCAGGAGACGTTGCATTGGACGCCGTAGCCGAACAGTCCCTAGCCGAACTAAGAAAACTACTGGAAGGTAAGACGAAACCGAGGATAGTTGTGAGCGACGTTCGTTGAGCAAGGAATGTAGATGTATTCAGTATGTCGCCCCAGTAGACGTGTTAGTGTGACTTGACGAATATGTGTGTCTTTGTAGGAACATTGGAACCATCGATATATTCTCTCTTTGACAGAGCTGCAGGTCACTTCAAACAGTGCATTTCCATCTGATCTGGAGATTCATAGTCACTCATTTTATTGTGACAATCACGAGCTTAGTGAGCGCTGTATACACGCTGTCAGGATTCGACGCTTCGCGTTCTTTTTTTAGACATCCTCATTTAATGCTTGCGTGTCATCGTTATCTACAATCTCTCGTATCTTATAGGTCATCGTGCTGCTGACTGCGTGCGGACGATACTTATCTGCCCTCAATATTTATCCCTGGATATCGGCGTTTGTACACCTGTAGTGTTCGTTGTAAGAAAAAGAAAAGATTCAAAACGCAACCTGTGTAACTCGCACGTACAACTCCAGTGTCCACGTTGCTAGATGTGCGGCAGTTTCGCCTTCAGAACCTTGTGGGACTTTCTTCGAAGAAAGTGTGATATCTGACCAAGTAGACTTGAAAAATGGTAAATGCCCCCTCTTACCTTAACATGGTATAAGTGTCACACCTTATGAATGCGTTACTGATTTGAAATGGAAATAATATGGGCCACTGCGCTCTCCAGTTCAACATTGGCCGACAAGCATCACTGGCCACAACAATAACAACACTAAGAAAACTAGCTACAAGCAAGACACACTCCCCAAAATTCGTCAGTGTCCAATGTTGATACTAATGTTTTACAGCGAAAGGTTCCGTGAGAACACAACAGTTGTTTCTGGCACCATAGTTGTCCATCGCCGGTGTCTGTAACCGTTATTGTGGGAAGCAAGAAAAAAAAATACATGAGACTACGGGATTCGAACCCGGGTGCTCTGCGAGGAAGCTTAGTATTCCACCAGAAATCCTAGCCGGAGCTGGAACCTCCTTTGGAAACGGACCCCAGTATGCAAGCTTCATGCCGTGGAAAAAACCACGCTGACATGCGTAACCCATAGTGCTTGAGAAGAATAAGACCAGACGTGACAGAATGCGAGTTGCGTAACGGGTGGGTCATTGAATGCTTCCAAAGCATTAGGAAAGCGTAAGCCATAATTTTTCAGTGTATTAACCCACATCATCAACAAAACGTGCAAAGAATGCCTTACAGACGTGTAGCGGGCGCCACGCTTCTCCGAAGAATAAATAATAATGACATACTAAAGGCTTGCCTATACCACACAAAGGTTATAATAATTTATGGCGTAGTGGGTGCCTTCCAAGTGCACCTGTAGTAGTTCACCCAAGAAAGTTTACAAGAGGCTCCAGGAAAGCCGCTCTCCCCGCTAGCGCTATGACTGCGCTGCAGGTTGCACACAGGCATGACGCCTTTCTTATCTTTTAAAGTAAAGGTCCAAGGCAAAGTGCAACGTGTGCGTGATGATACTGAAACAACAAACATGACCAATGCACAACAAGTCTTATCACCTTTATTGTATCTTCTAAAATAGTCGCAGGTTTCATAACATGAAAGAAAAGTTCATTTATAGTTGCGTCACTCCAGTTATACTCCAATAAGCACTACACTCCCTGCCAGCCTTTTTTGCATACGCGTTATTCTAAGCTAGTCCTGTAATCATTCCTGTTCGAATAGTTATATTCCTTTTTTCTCTCTCCCTCCATTTTTTTATGGTTGTGGTAGAGGGGGAAAAAGGCATTGAAGATCTTTTTCTCTTTCTAAGTTTATGCCATCAGCTTTGTCAGATAATGCCAGCATTTGCTAATTTATGAATAGATTGCAGATGCATTTTCTTCAGCGTCTTGCAAAGATCTTCACGTCCATCCAGTGCCTCGAGATTGTAACTTTTCTGAGAAAATCCTTACGTACTTTCTCCTGGATTTTCTTACTCGCAAGATCTGTTCGTTAATCTTGACGGGAATCAAGTCGTTAGGTCGTACATGATTTGTAGCTAGGGCTTTCACACTGCGATGGTCGGGAATTCTGTGTGCGAAATTTATAGGTTAAAGTCCACACTCAATTTCTGCGTCAATATCTTCGGGCTAATAATAAACAAAGAAAATTGGTCTGCATAGCCCCCAGAGCACTTTAAAACCACGAGAGAAAGAAATCCTGGATCATAGATGCAACAGACGTCAATCCAAGTTGCTTAAAATTTTTTTGTAACCTGGGCGTCGGGACAATTAAATGAATAAATGACAGTCGCTATCAGCTGCCTTCATTTTGTCAATGTGGAGTCAATATTGAGAGATTCTCTTCATATAGTTTGGCGTCCTCACTTTTTTCTATCTTTTTTCTTATCTTGGCGTCACTAGGCAGCTTAGGTCTTCTATTCCTAAAGCATGTTATTTCATGCTATTGTAACAACCTTATTCTACGGGAGCAGCAGCAAGCGCTCATGTTTCATTCACGCTATGATGTTCCATGAAAAATGTAGAGAGAGAGAGATACTTCCTGCGGTCTGACTGATTCATAGCCCTGCATTCGTGCGCTTCGATCAACCCGGATGTCACTTTGATCACCAATTATAATTAAATTAATGAATAATATTAACCACAGGCGAACACATATAAATTTGTTTCGGGGTTTCGACTTCCTCCATATAAAGGAATCTGACCTGACAGGGTGCTATCGTGCCGGAGCCTTTAGTTGCACATGTTCCTCAAAATGCCCACTACTACAAATACGACTTCACTGGATATGGGCTAGCAAGCACCAGCGTGTTCATGGATGGGTGTGCATGTGGTTGTGTGCACACAGGTACAAGGCATAAAATGTGTGTGTGTGTGAGTGTGGGGTAGGTACGCAAGAGACTGAGCTGCCACCCTGGCAAGATCAGTGCTGGTAAATTATATCCCCTAACCATGTACTCGAAACAAGCCAGGTAACGGTGAATATTAAGCGTGATCTTCAATTTGGCGCAGGTGAAAAGCTGGCGAACGCTCCCACTGATTCTGCCGACTTGCTGCGCTTCTTGCGTCATCGCAAATACGATGCCCACGCGGCGCTAGACGTTCTCAAGAAATATTGTGCAATCAGAGCCTCCGCTCCGAAGCTCTTCGAGGGACTCAAAGAGCCCGATAAGATGCGAGAAGTAGGCCAAGACATCTTCACGATACTGCCTCACAGGAACATGCATGGCAAGCCAATCATGTTCTGCAAATTTGGTGAGCAATATTTTCTTATTACAATCAGTGTACATCTATCCCGACACAGCTGGAACGATTCTGCCTTTAGAATGGCAGACGTCATATGAGAGGCCCCAGATGCACGGAAACAGAAGCCGATAACTTAATTATGCATTGTTGATTTGATTGATTGATATGTGGGGTTTAACGTCCCAAAATCACCATATGATTATGTCAGGTGCCGCAGTGGAGGGCTCCGGAAGTTTTGACCACCTGGGGTTCTTTAACGTGCACCCAAATCTGAGCACACGGGCCTACAGCATTTTCGCCTCCATCGAAAATTCAGCCACCGCAGCCGGGGATTAGATCCAGCGAGCTGCGGTCAGCAGTCGAGTACCTTAGACACTATACCAGCACGGTGGGGCAATAAATGCATTGTCAGCTTTCCATTTACAGAGAATATTGTACTACGAGAACTAGATTATATTTATAGCACCTCTATTTCTGATGGTGGCATTTCTGGTAATTCATACCAGAAACACCAGTGACATGTCAGCTTAGAAGTAACTTCAAATACAGCGATGACTCCTGCGTTGGTCATTTTTTTAACTAGTTACAAACTAAACATTTTTCCAGCTTATCAGTGTTGCTACTTAACAGACTGAGCTTACGCTTCATTATTAGCTGAGAATTTAGCGTTATCAGAGCAGTAAAATACGTTCGTTAGCTTGAACATTAAATGATTCACTAGAGCTTTTGATTACCGAACAAACATGTAAGCAAGAAAGAGGGATGCAGTATGAAATATCTTAACTCGTGAGCTTCCGAAAGTGGAAGCAAAAAAACAACAACAACAAAAAAAAACATGGCAATGAAAAGGGAGTGTTTTGTCATAATGTTTTTCGTCACAACAAAAATTTTTTTTTGCAGTAACGTAAATTTTATGTTACACAGAAAATGGTGCCAAATAGAGGACCAGGAAGTACAAGACATATACGACGCTTTCGACGCTTCTAGCTTTCATTTTCAGCGGGTAAAAATGGATGTCCATAGACGAGAGCTTCGGTTTCAAATATGCCCAGACAAGAACTCCGCCGAAAAATTCGAATTCTGGCTTTCAGTTGTTGCAATACTTTTTCAAATGATTCCCACAGACCAACAACATAACTTTTGCCTGCACTACTTTTTATGAAAAAGAACTTTGAATTCAAACTTTAAGCAATGAAGCCTTAAGAGTCGCGCGCCGCGCGATTTGCGCTCCACCGTAATATCACACGAGTAATATTTTTTCCCACACGAGCCGCTGATGTCAATTTTTGCTGCTGACTCTTGAAGTATGAGTAATTGAAACTCTGGTCGATAAAGGCGAGAGTTTTATTGACACTCAGCTGCTTGATGTTGTGTTATTTGCTCGAATTGGTGTTCACGAACGTGGACGCAGGTAGCGGAAAGCGGCAAGCGTTGTGACCCAAGTGTATCGCTTCGAATAGTTTGCCTTCAATTTAATTCAATAATATTCAATTTGTTTACCAGAAAACAATCTGCAGAGATACCTGGGCAAAAAGCTGTCGCAGCAGCTTGACGAAGGCCCAGGGTCACTTACATGTCAATAGCACATATATGACACATGTAAACAAGTGTTTTTTCATGGCATTCACATCAAAAGCATTATACATACAGATCAGCATACGTCACACGTACCCATAAAAAGTAACTATGACACTTCGTATAAGAATGAAGGTAATGCGTTATCGATTTGATAGGTAGGGTTTAACGTCCCAAAGCCACCACATGATTATGAGAGGCGCCGTAATGAAGGGCTCCGAAAATTTCGACCACCTGGGGCTCTTAACGTGCACCCAAATCTGAGTACATGTGCTAATGCGTTATTACAAAGATAAAAAGTGGTCGTGCAGATGTTTTTCATTTATTGCGGTTGTGTGTTTGTACCGGTTGAGTATTATTGGAATATTATGAGCTAGTGATTGCAGGCTGTAGTTGTTCCGTGACCAAGGCACCTTTCATACTTCAGGGTTGCGTGTGTGTTTAGTGTTGTTGTGCGGTTCTAGCTTAGCTATAGGGACGTAAAGTAATTTTTAACATTTTGGGACGAGAAATACATTTTCGCCAATAATCTACATTTATACAGCCTGTCAACGCGGTGTAATTTGTGTTTGAGAAATATACCCTGTGTGGCTGAAAGTCGATCGACATTTTCTATATAGCGGACACTTTTCTGTTGAATTTTTACAAGTTCATGCATGTTGCAATGTGAAGGTGTTGCCCAGACAAAGTAGCAGTAGTGGGCATATGACAGGAATAGACAGTAATAAATTTGCATCTTTGCCCCCACAAGCAAGAATGCGCGGCAGTGTGCCATAGCACCGGTAACCGCAGATAGCTTATCGCAAAGATAATTGATGTGAGTATCCCAACGTAAACCAGAAGAAAAATATACCCCAAGAATTTTAAAGCCTTAAACAGGTTACGCCTCTAACATCGATAAAGCTAGACTCACGTGAGATAGCAGGCACAGCCCTTGCCGATCACTTCAATCATCATTTCAAAACTGCGCAAAGTGATATCCCTAGCGGCAATGGCAGCATGAAGGAATTAGGCTGCTACAATGCTATTCGCGAAAGTGCATTCTTTACGCCTGCCGATGAGGGTGAAGTACAGAGTGTACATGGGATTGAAGAACAGTAGGGCTACAGATATGAATAACTTGCAGATTAAGCCTATAAAATATGTTTTAATGTTTATTGCTCTTCCACTGATGCACATTTATAACTTAATTTTAGAAACTTTCATTTATCCAAGCGCAACAAAATACGCTAAGGTTTCAATTATTTATAAGGGTGGTGTCGGAATTCTGCGTCAAATTACCGACCGATATCTGTACTTCCAGTTTTTTCGAAGGGTATAGAAAAACTCGTGTTTACTCGAATGACAGACTTCTTGAATAAAAAGGGCATTCTCACTGACTCACAGTATGGCTTCAAAAAAAAAAAAACAGGTCGACAGAAATGGCACTCCTAACACTGAAGGAATAAATATTACAGAGCTTTGAACATAACTGTTGTACAGCTGGTATATTCATCGATTTTAGCAAAGCTTTCGACAGTCTAGATCCCAAGATTCTTATTCACAAACTTTCCCTATGTGGATTTCGTGGAAGACCGTTAGAATTACTTCAGTCATACCTCAAAGAACGAAATCAGTGTGTCTCCATCAATAACCCTCAAGCCATCCTGTTTACCTGTTCTATGCGGTGTGCCCCAAGGCAGTATTCTTGGACCACTTTTGTTTAATCTATTAATGATGTATTAATGTATTAATGACATTCTAAGTATAGCCAATGATGCGAAATTTATCATGTACGCGGACGATAGCACATTGTGTGTATCAGGCCCTGATGCCAACAAACTTGTCAAAAGATGCAATGAAACCATGCTCAGTTTGTCGAACTGGACTCAGGAAAACAGGCTTAAGGTAAATTAAAAAAAACTAAATTTATCGTGTTTCGCGCTAAAAATAAACCCCTCGTTATTCACACTGCGCCATCCCCGCTTGTTTTGAATCTATTTGTGCAGGCAAATGGAAGCCACCCAAGCAGAGCAACCTGCAGCTCATCCAAGCGATGGTGTTCTGTCTCGAGCACGTGTCTATGTGTCCCGAAGCCCAGACAATTGGCTTCCCTATGGTGTGCGACTTCGAAGAATACACCCTGCTGTGCGTGAAGCACATTGAAATCGGCCTCACCAGAAATTTTCTGCACTACATACAGGTGTAACCCGACGCGCCGCTAAAGGTTCTTCAGAGTGCATATGCGCTGCATTATGCGAGATAGCATTTGATTTAAAAAAAAAGCGCCAGCCTTTTCGATAAAGAACCACAGTCGGCGCTGTTTGTCTGAATTCGATTAGATAACATAAATACCTCGAAGAGGAGCCCACAGCACCTTGATATCATTACTTACGCGCGTAATGTCGCTTCTTAATATACATATCGCTTTTGTCCTCCGACTCAACGATTCGTCATTTAGCCGGAGTGAATGATAAAGGGCTGCTTTCTCACCGATTGTTACTTCATGAAACCATCATCTATGATATCACATGTGAGATTCGTCTCAATATATACGTGAATAGCTATTGCTGAACAACTGAACTTATTTGACAAAGGGCACTTTAGCAACACTGCTACTTCGCTTGCCTATGCAATACTTGTCAGTAAACTGTTACCGTTTACCCACGCATCTGAATGACGATGGTGTATTTTTGCCTCGACACAGAATTCACGCGCGCAATTGACAGGAGCCTGGCGCTCATAAAATTTTTATAAAAATATTTGTGTTGCTAAAGAAACTACGCCCTGCATGTGTGTATTTGTTTATTCAACAAGGGTATTAGTTTACAGTAAAGTGTTACAAGATTGATAACAGACAAGGAGCTCCAAAGTTAAATTAATCATAGTGAGAGAGGAAGGCCGATCTTGCCCTATTGTTCGATAATGGCTCATTTTCATTAACGTCGTGTTTGTGTTTGCTTTGCTTTGATCGTTTCGCAGAACTGCCTTCCTGTTGTAGCAAATGAAGGTCACATTATAAGACAGCCTGCAGCCTTCGACGTGGCGCTCAAAATAGCTAGACCATTCCTGAAGGATGAGTCCATCAAAGTGGTAAGCTTCTTCATTCAAACAAATAAAACTCACGTATACTAAATCACGCTTAAATGATCGCTTGACCCGTACTTGGGAATTAGAAGGCATCGTGCATGTTATCTCCTGCGGACTGCGTTTGTCTTGTCAGCGGCGACTTCCTTACGTGATTGTCGGGAGGGCTGGAGTGATGATTGATTGATTGATATGTGGGGTTTAACGTCCCAAAACCACCATATGATTATGAGAGACGCCGTAGTGGAGGGCTCCGGAAATTTCGACCACCTGGGGTTCTTTAACGTGCACCCAAATCTGAGCACACGGGCCTACAACATTTCCGCCTCCATAGGGCTGGAGTGATGTGACAAGAAGAGAAAAGTGAGCCCCGTAACAGTAGCTCACGAGGAATGGGGGTAGAGAAGGGAGTAAAAGGATAGGATTAAAAGGTAAAGAGATAGAGAGAGAGGAAAGAGAGAGTGAGGCGCAGGGACAGCGAACGATGGAAGTAAGGGAAAGACAGGAAAAATGAACACGGTTGCAGGAGTTCGAGGACGGGGCACCACCGGCGAGAGCGTTTGTCGGCGTCAGGAGATAGCGTAGGGCAAGTCGAGTAGGCCAGAGCTACGCTGTCGTCGAAGATCGGCGAAGGAGATGGCGTAGGGCCAGCCCAGTCGGCCAGAGCTACGCTGACGTCGGACACACGCCCTGCTCTCTTCCTGTCTTTTTCACCACCTCATTCCCTTTCCCACGTGTTGGGTCTCAAGTGTAGAAAATCCAATTGACTTATTCGCCTGTTCTGCCGTGTCTCTCTTTCTCACTCCTGGTGACAATTACTTTGTTTCGATTGTTTACCCTAAGCATTCAGCATCGGTCATTACATAAGAGGGGGGGGGGGGCTAGTATAACAAGCAGCGAACTTGTTAGAACAGCAACAAACTTAAAACGGAACAATATATTAAGCATATTAACACAAATGAAGTACGCAACAATTAAACAGATCAAATAGACACAGTCCAACAAAGAATAGTATCATCGAATTATTATGCAATACAATAACACAAGGTCTACCTGCAGCGTACCGCAACAACATGATGGACTTCGAAAATAGTGAGAAATCAGACATAGCAGACAAGGAGAAACAGATAAATTATTCGAAGATGTGGCCCTCTCGGAACAAGTGGACACAGCCACACCTGCGAGGAAACGAACACGTGTTTCTTCATTAGCAGCTTTTGCCAACGGCGAGCTCGCCAGCCAAACCTTAGCTATAACTAACAATATGACAACCAATCTGATACAACGCGAATATAACAAGGAGAACACGACACGCGCAGTACAACAGAACACATTCAAGGTACCGCGAAGGTGGTGTCCCCCAAGTCCGACTCACGGTGAAAGCCTACGGACACGAGCCGTGGTATCGAACCCACAGACCCTCCGGGGACCCGACCGTCGCCGACCACGGCCAGCCGCAAAAAAGAGACCGATCGCTGATCCCCATAGCACGCATAATCTCGCTCCCGCTAGGTGGTGCTGCTGAACACCGTGGAATAGAGTTACTGTATATGCTACCTTTAGGTAGCATATATTTATTTAGGCAGCATATTATTTATTTAGGTAGCATATTACTGTAGCATATACAGTAACTCCACCGTGGAAAGCTGAACACGCCCACGATAGAAATAAGTAACAGGAGGTTTGAATATTGGCGATACCAAACTCCAGATGAAGGACAAATAGAGGAAAATAAAAGACATTCTGCCGTTAAGTACATAGAACTGGGCTATGAATGTGTTTTTTTCCTAGGTAGAGTTATACGAAATAGACAAATTATTAGGTCATATAAAAAAATAAAGTTCTTTTTCTTAATTTGTCAAGCCTGGTGACATACTTGTTACCACCCCATTAAAAAGATGACGCTCATGGTGTCCATCTATCCATTTATTTCTCGCGGCGGCAACTAATTACGCTAACGACGATGTGCCGGTGCCACGAGGCAAAAACGACTTCGCAGGAGAGGGATCGACCTTACACGGCACCATGCTTATACGCGGGCCGTGCGGGAGTACATAGTGTCGAAAACAACTTATCAGCACGCACTTTTATGACTCTACTTTTCGAGGCTGATTTCCCGCGTGCGTCACCGCAGGTCCACCTCCACGGCAAGCACGTGAGCCGGATTCAGAGCGACATTCCTGTGAGCGTACTGCCCAAGGAGTACGGAGGCACGGCGCCCGACACTGACTGGAACGTCTTCTGGAAGAACGTGTGCCTCGATTGTAAGGCGGACAGCGCTTAGCTATAATGCAAACGACCCTGTGTTTCGTCAATAAGAATGTGGCGTCTGGGTTCGTTGGCTTCCCGGAAAACACTTGGTCGTTCGTGGTGCACAAAAATGAACGTTGGCCAGCGCTTTCTTCTCTGTCGCAATTTAAATAAGGGCCTGTATAAAAGTGGTCTGCAGCAAGCAGAAGTCCATGGGAAATTGGGTGGGGGGGGGTAAGGGGGAGGGGGTGGATTTTTTGAAATGCAGCGTCATTATCTACTGCACAGTGATATGCAGGGAGAGATACGGCAGCAACTGCTCGAATGAATTGAATTATGTAACGAAAATGGGGAACGCCGTATTATTACAACGACGTGTTGTTGTGAACACTGTACCCGTGATAACAGGAATCTAAGCGCATACAATTAAGCTTACTCAAGGAATAGTGCACACGAACAAAAACAAAAGGTTCCCCATCAATCATGTGATACACAATCTTTTCTATAGCCCCAGTTTGGTAGCCTTGTTTTGAAATGTTGATATGTCTGTGATGATTGCCGTGAATAAAATTTTATTTTTATACATTCTTGGTGGGGCAACGAATCTCGTGCATCAGAGTCAGAAGATATCATCACATGGTGTTTGTACGAGTTAGGATTTTCATAAAAAGCCCGGGTAAGTGCCTTCGGTTTACTGTGCTACGCAACAAGACTCTGGCAACGAATTGTATTGTTACACATGAATATTGCATGCATTCTTCGCTCTCTCTGGTTGTTGCGCGGAAACTTGAAGCGTGTGGTGGGCGTAAATTTGCCCCCTGTAGTTAAGCTCTAGTGCCTGAGACACTCGGCTGCTGACCCGAAGGTCGTGGTAGGAAATCCAGACCGCGGCGGCCGAATTTTTGATGCAGGTGAAAACGCTTGAGGCCGTATGTTCAGATTTAGGTGGACGTTAAAGAACCCCCGGTGGCCCGCCGCGGCAGTCTAGTGGCTAATTTACTCGGCTACTCACTCGAAGGTCGCGGGCCCGAATCGCGGCTGCGGCGGCTGCATTTTTGATGGAGGCGAAAATGCTGTAGGCCCATGTGCTCAGGTTTGGGTACACCTTAAAGGAGCCCAGGTAGTCGAAATCTCCGGAGCCCTCCACTACGGAGTTTCTCGTAATCATATGTTGTGGTTTTGGGACGCTAAAGCTATCAATCAATCAGGAACCCCAGGTGGTCGAATTTCTGCAGCCGTCCACTATGGCGTCTCTTATAATCATATTGTGGTTTTGGGACGTTAAACCGCAACAATGGTCACTATTATTTCCCTTTTTTGTCTTGCTCTCAGAAAGTCTTTGTATCTTTTCTCAGAAAGGTGTACCATGCTCTGGATAACGAAGATCGCGAATAAAATGACGAAACTTCCGTTGCCATTTTGAAGACCAATCATTTAGGGGGGGGGGGGAGATAGATGCAAACTCTAGTGATGTGCTGGGCATGTACGGCTGGCCGGATCATCTAGGTTGCTATATATAGGCATTGGGTGACAACAGTATACACATCAGTATTGCCAGCCAATTAAAAAAGATACCGTATAGTGCACGGTCAAGATGACCCTGCTTTACTTTACACAATATTTTCATTACCGTACATGCCACCTGCCCAGTGTAACAGAAATGACCCAGTATGACATTAACAATGTGTAAACTATACTTCATTGTACGACATGTGTACTTGTAATGGCGCTGAAGCCGGTAGTGACTCCAGAGCTATGAAAATAGATAGCAGACAAACGGATATATGGTTCCGGTAGTTGCATGGGAAGAACACCTACTCAAAGAGGAAAAAAAAATCTAAGAGACTTACCACGAAGTACACCACTTACAGTGTTATCGAAAAAGAAAGTTGAACAAAAAGAGGCGGAAAATATTAATTGAATAGCAGTGGTGGAAAGAAAACCGACTCTGAGTAACTATACCGAAAGTTTGAAAACGAAATAAGCAAGGCTACTTTTTTCAATCGACGGGTGAGCGCTTTCCTTCAGAAGCGAAGTTGGGGTACTTTCGAAAGCATTGTTTTAAAGCAAGATTAAGTAAAGAAGAAAGGTGAACATACGTGGCGAAGCTGAGAAAACGACCGAGAAGGATTCTATTGAATCTGAAAATATACTTTCTGTTGTGTGTAAGTACACCATAGCCTACATAAAGTCTTGTTTCCTAGGTTCAACGTTGCAAAGGTAAACAAATCGACATCACGTAGCACGTGACCTTATCAGAGGCTGGCAGCTGATCAACAATCCCTCGAATAATACTTGAAAGAATGAAGTCTGCCAGAACGAGACCCTCACTATGAATCCAGGAAAAAAGTTGAGAATTTAAGAGCATGTTTTTCTTTGTCAGACACAATATTAATGAGAACTAACAGACAACACTGCCCAGGAAAGTACAGAGGATGCTATTAGTAGTACTAAATGGGTTATACTATTACACTAAATATTACACTATTATGGGTTATACCACTTAAAGTTAATGGGGGCGTAACAGCCGTGGTACCTCAGTTGGTAGAGCATCGGACGACAGTCGCAGGTTCGGTTTCTGTTGAGGGCAAGTTATGTTTTTGTCACCATTAATTTCTTCACATTTAGACTGTTTTCTTCTATTACCAACACCTATATTTTACACGGCAGTGTTGTCAGTTACTTCTAACGAATATCGTGTCTAATGTTAAGGCGTTTATTAGCCGGCAACCAGCGAGCATACACAATGGCGACAGTCACGGCCAAGCACGGACTCCCAGCGCGAGCGGCGTCCTTGTTGGGTAGCCCCACTAGGAGGTACTCAAGAGTTTGACCCATTTCAGAGTTCGGAGGCTTCGCTACAATTACCCTGGGGTCGAAGAGGGAGCCGCCTGGCGACCTAACAGCTTGTTACTATGAGCGGGTCATAATAAGCCTTCAGGCGCTCCACGTTGGCGATGTCGCGCCCACGGCGGCGCATGCCCGAAGATTGTTCAACGGGTTCGATCAGATAATTGACGGGTGAGGTGCGCTCGATGACACGGTATGGGCCTTCGTATTTGGGAAGTAGTTTGGAAGAGAGGCCAGCTGCAGAGGTCGGGATCGAGAGCCATACAAGCGCAACAGAAAGAAACGTGGGCTCAGAAGTAGTGGAGCCATCACGAATACTTTTCTGCCGCTCTTGCTCATGCGTCGTAAACGTCTTGGCAAGCTCGCGACACTCTTCGGCAAGCCTAGCTGTCTCAGAAATGGGTGCACATTCAGATAGATCCGGCGTGTACGGGAGTATCGTGTCCATGGTGTGCGATGGGCGCCTTCTGTACAGCAAGTAGAAAGGTGAAAAACCGGTCGTGCTCTGAGGGGCGGTTTTGTTGGCGTAGGTGACGAAGGGCAGTATATTATCCCAATTCGTTTGGTTGGCAGCGACGTACATCGAGAGCATGTCGCCGAGGGTGCGGGTAAAGCGTTTGGTGAGGCCATTCGTCTGCGGGTGGTAAGCAGTAGTTTTGCGTTGGACAGAATGGCACTCCGTCAGAATGGCTTCGATGAGTTTCGACAAGAAGACATGGCCTTGATCGCTGAGAAGCTCTTGGAGTGGTCCGTGGCGCAGTATGAATCGATGCAGCAGGAAGGACGCAACATCACGCGCAGAAGCCGCAGGGAGAGCGGCGGTTTCGGCGTATCGCGTTAAATGGTCTACGGCAACGATGGCCCAGCGGTTACCAGCCGACGTCAGAGGAAAATCAATATCTACGCGCCCAAAGGCACGGTCAGGGCAAGGTAACGGTTGCAGACTGGCATGCGACATGTGTGCTGACGATTTGCAGCGTTGGCAAGTGAGGCAAGAGCGAACGAACTGCTGCACGTAGCGGTACATCCCGCGCCAGAAGTAGCGTTGTCGAATGCGGTGGTAAGTTTTGGATACCCCAGAGTGCGCACATTGCGGATCAGAATGGAAAGATTCACATATCTCTAACCGCAGGCTGCGGGGTATGACGAGTAACTACTGCCGGCCATCGGAGTCGTAATTGCGTCGGTGTAGGAGCCCGTCACGGATGGCGAAATGGTGTGTTCGACGACGCAAGGCACGCGTGGGTGGTGTTGCGGATGGATCAGAGGGCAAGTCGATCAGCGGGGCGATCAAATTATCCTTTCGCTGTTCGGTAGCGAGGATGTCAACATCGATGACAGATACAGCAATTGAGGTTACTGAGCAGGGCACGTCGTCTTGAGGTAGAGGAGAGCGTGAGAGGGGATCGGCGTCAGCATGCTGGCGTCCGTTGCGGTATAGCACACTGATGTCGTAGTCTATTAAGCGAAGAGTCCAACGGGCAAGACGGCCTGAGGGATCCTTCAATGATGAAAGCCAGCATAGTGCATGATGGTCGGTGACAACATCGAATGGGCGACCATACAAATAAGGTCGAAACTTTGTAAGGGCCCAGACGATCGCCAGGCACTCTTTCTCCGTGACGGTGTAGTTTGTCTGGGCTCTCGTGAGCGTTGTTAGGAATTTCGCTCTGTCGCGATGGTAGCGGTGGCGAAGAGCGGCGAGCAGTCGAGCGGACTTCGCTTAAGCCTTTGCCCTAAGGCGAAGAAGGGAGGCAATTCGTTTTGAAAACAGCAACAAAAGGGAGCGTTTACTGTAGCAGGTTGTCGTTTGTACAGAGCCGGCCAGCACGACAACGTCGGCTGGGGCAAAATCTTCTAACATGGGGCCGGCACGGCCTTAAATAGCGTTTTGGGACTCTTCTGCGAGACCAGTTCCCCGGAACGGCACTGTGGCTCGGCTGAGGAGACGCAGCCATACCCGGAACTGCAAAGTGGTTCGGTGGAGGAAGCGACGTTATCCCCGGAACTGCGCATTTCTTCTGCACGGAAGGCGGCGCTGGGAGGGGGGGGGGGACACAGTTCGTCGGAACAGGACTCGATCTCGTGAGACGTGCTCCCGAACGAGGAACATGTCTGTGGCACAACAGCACCCCCGCCGCCAGACAATGCATCCGGAGTTTTGAGCCGTCAGCGCGGCTCGGAAGGAGGGATGCTGGTTGACCGTCTGTAGCCGTTCCGCTCTCCCCGCCCGTTGAGACTTCCATAGGCCTGCAGAGGTTCACTGGAACAACGGAGTCGAAAACAAAGCCAAACCACTCTGGCCAAAGCAAGCACCCTCCAAATGCTGATCAAATCGCCAGACCAGCAGAAACCAAATGTTTCCTCGAGATTACGCT